GAAAATCACATTGTAGGCTTTTTAATGAATTAATTTGCAAATTATGGTGGAAAATAAGTATTTGGTCACCTACAAACAAGCAAGATTTCTGGCTCTCACAGACCTGTAACTTCTTCTTTAAGGGGCTCCTCTGTCCTCCACTCGTTACCTGTATTAATGGCACCTGTTTGAACTTGTTATCAGTATAAAATACACCTGTCCACAACCTCAAACAGTCACACTCCAAACTCCACTATGGCCAAGACCAAAGATCTGTCAAAGGACACCAGAAACAAAATTGTAGACCTGCACCAGGCTGGGAAGACTGAATCTGCAATAGGTAAGCAGCTTGGTTTGAAGAAATCAACTGTGGGAGCAATTATTAGGAAATGGAAGACATACAAGACCACTGATAATCTCCCTCGATCTGGGGCTCCACGCAAGATCTCACCCCGTGGGGTCAAAATGATCACAAGAACGGTGAGCAAAAATCCCAGAACCACACGGGGGGACCTAGTGAATGACCTGCAGAGAGCTGGGACCAAAGTAACAAAGCCTACCATCAGTAACACACTACGCCGCCAGGGACTCAAATCCTGCAGTGCCAGACGTGTCCCCCTGCTTAAGCCAGTACATGTCCAGGCCCGTCTGAAGTTTGCTAGAGTGCATTTGGATGATCCAGAAGAGGATTGGGAGAATGTCATATGGTCAGATGAAACCAAAATAGAACTTTTTGGTAAAAACTCAACTCGTCGTGTTTGGAGGACAAAGAATGCTGAGTTGCATCCAAAGAACACCATACGTACTGTGAAGCATGGGGGTGGAAACATCATGCTTTGGGGCTGTTTTTCTGCAAAGGGACCAGGACGACTGATCCGTGTAAAGGAAAGAATGAATGGGGCCATGTATCGTGAGATTTTGAGTGAAAACCTCCTTCCATCAGCAAGGGCATTGAAGATGAAACGTGGCTGGGTCTTTCAGCATGACAATGATCCCAAACACACCGCCCGGGCAACGAAGGAGTGGCTTCGTAAGAAGCATTTCAAGGTCCTGGAGTGGCCTAGCCAGTCTCCAGATCTCAATCCCATAGAAAATCTTTGGAGGGAGTTGAAAGTCTGTGTTGCCCAGCGACAGCCCCAAAACATCACTGCTCTAGAGGAGATCTGCATGGAGGAATGGGCCAAAATACCAGCAACAGTGTGTGAAAACCTTGTGAAGACTTACAGAAAAAGTTTGACCTGTGTCATTGCCAACAAAGGGAATATAACAAAGTATTGAGAAACTTTTTTTATTGACCAAATACTTATTTTCCACCATAATTTGCAAGTAAATTCATTAAAAATCCTACAATGTGATTTTCTGGATATTTTTTTTTCATTTTGTCTGTCATAGTTGACGTGTACCTATGATGAAAATTACAGGCCTCTCTCATCTTTTTAAGTGGGAGAACTTGCACAATTGGTGGCTGACTAAATACTTTTTTCCCCCACTGTACCTTAAAAAAAGTAGGGGCATGTATCAGAAAACCAGTCAGTATCTGGTGTGACCACCATTTGCCTCATGCAGCGTGACACATCTCCTTTGCATAGAGTTGATCAGGCTGTTGATTGTGCCCTGTGGAATGTTATCCCACTCTTCTTTAATGGCTGTGCGAAGTTGCTGGACATTCGCGGGAACTGGAACATGCTGTCGTACATGTCGACCCAGAGCAACCCAAACATGCTCAATGGGTGACATATCTGTTTGAGTATGCAGGCCATGGAAGAACTTGGACATTTTCAGCTTCCAGCAATTGTGTACAGGTCCTTGCGACATGGGGTTGTGCACTATCATGCTGAAACATGAGGTAATGGCGGTGGATGAATGGCATGACAATGGGTTGTGGTGACGTCATATCAGTACGTCACATCAATACACAACACTCGGTGATGAGCTTAATGCTTCTTTCCAATAAATATCGAGAGTCGTTTTCTGGTGACATGATGATCGATGCTTGGCTGCCGTTTGACAAATAAAAATAATCTTGCTCTTTTGTCCATAATAATCTATACCCGCACTATATCTGCCAGCTGTTGGCTAGAGCGCACGTGCCAAGACCAAAGTGGGCACATTCACTATATAATGCAACATTTGTAGTGACAAAACCAGTTGAAAATGCGATGGAAATCCATTTAACTTGTATTTTTTATTCAGTACATGGGAATTGATCCGCAAAAGTAATTTTTATGTGTACTATGTCATCACGCACAACCTTTCAACCTTTTTAAAACCTAGCTTATTAGAGGGCAAGGAGGAGATTCTACCATGTTGGTTATACCTATCCTATTCTCCCTGGGCTGCATGTCAACAGTCTAAAGCAGAGTCATGTATTTAGAAAGTTGGGCCAACTTTTAGAATTTAGAATTTTATTCTAGACATTCAGTTACATAGCATTATTTAAATATTGCCCATGTTATGTTCATGTTAATTTCGAAGTGTCATGTAAATGCATCATAATGCCCATTCCAGACATTATATTTCCATGTAATTAATGGGGCGCTAACATGGCTGCCATAGAACGTTCTAGTGTCATGTATATGAATCATAATACAGAAAACTCAATGGCCCAACTCTCTAAATACATGGCTCTGGTCCAGAGTGGCTTCCTCCCTGGGCTGTGTTTCAGTAGTCTAAAGTGTCTTCCTCCTCCACGTCTCCTCGCCTTTATCTTCACTAATCTGAAAACTACATGATAGGTCAAAGCAGTATGGCGGATGCCTACTGTGATTTTGTTAACCCTGTCCAGCTCTTTCACAGTAGTGCAGAAGAAAGGAGACTGCAGATCCAAATAACCTGTTAGCTAAATCTTGTGCAATGTGTCATTTCTCAGTATACTGAGACTTATGTTTTTGTTAAACATTGTCCCAGTTCAAATAAACGTAATAAATCAACTTAATGACAATGAGAGGTAGCCACTTATAGAGATGTGCCTTTGGTGTCCATTCCACCTAATAATGACAATTAAAGAGGTCATGTTTATTAGACATTACAGACCTGCTACCCAGGCTATGATTGAGAAGGGCTAAATTACACAAAGATTGGGTGATCTATTGAACGAGAGAGAGAGAGAGAGAGAGAGAGAGAGAGAGAGAGAGAGAGAGAGAGAGAGAGAGAGAGAGAGAGAGAGAGAGAGAGAGAGAGAGAGAGAGAATGGTAGAGAGACACTAAAAAGGGCTTACTATCCTCTAATGGACATGTAGTCGATCGATAGGTCCTCAAGATTCAAGGGTAGTAATCCAATACCATAATGCACTGTCTGTCGGCAAGTCAGGAGATCTCTTTACCTTCTCTCTTCTACCTTTAAGCGCTCCAGGATATTGCAATATCCCAATGGCGGTTTCTAAAGGTGAAAAGCATTATTTTATGACATTAAATAGTCTGTGTAATTCTATATTTCTCACTCGAATGTACAGAGATAGTTTTGACATGAACATACAGTACCAGTCAAAAGTTTGGACACACCTACTCATTCAAGGGTTTTTCTTTATTTTTACGATTTTCTACATTGTAGAATAATAGTGAAGACATCAAAACTATGAAATAACACATATGGAATAATGTATTAACCATAAACAAATCAAAATATATTTTAAATTTGAATAGCCACCTTCAAATAGCCACCCTTTACCTTGATGACAGCCTTGCACACTCTTGGCATTCTCTCAACCAGCTCCACCTGGAATGCTTTTCCAACAGTCTTGAAGGAGTTGCCACATATGCTGAGCACTTGTTGGCTGCTTTTCCTTCACTCTGCCGTCCGACTCATCCCAAACCATCTCAATTGGGTTGAGGTCGGAGGATTGTGGAGGCCCCACACCATAACACCTCCTCCTCCATGCTTTACGGTGGGAACTACACATGCAGAGATCATCCGTTCACCCACACTGCGTCTCACAAAGCCACGGCTGGAACCAAAAATCTCCAATTTGGACTAATGTCCATTGCTCGTGTTTCTTGGCCCAAGCAGGTCTCTTCTTATTATTGGTGTCCTTTAGTAGTGGTTTCTTTGCAGCAATTAGACCATGAAGGCCTGATTCACACAGTCCCCTCTGAACAGTTGATGTTGAAATGTGTCTGTGACTTGAACTCTGTGAAGCATTTATTTGGGCTGCAATTTCTGAGACTGGTAACTCTAATGAACTTATCCTCTGCAGCAGAGGTAACTCTGGGTCTTCCATTCCTGTGGTGGTCCTCATCAGAGTAAAATTGACCTTCAGGTCTTAAAGTAATGATGGACTGTCGTTTAGCTTTGCTTATTTTAGCTGTTCTTGCCATAATATGGACTTGGTATTTTACCAAATAGGACTATCTTTTGTATTACCTGCATAAAATATTTGAAGCGGCATTCTATCTCCTGATAATCTATTCAAATGTCCCCCACACTTCACATACAATGACACTGCCAGTTCTTCAGATCACAGAGGTCGGAGGTCATCTAAATATGGCTGTGACACCCTGTGTGTGTATGAACAATGGCAGGTCATAGTAGTAGTGTGTGAAGAGGGAAAGAGAATACCAAGCCTTTGTTGTAGCTCTCCACGCTCTCTTCTCCATGTGGGCCTATCACCTGGTTGCCATGGTAACCACCCTCCCACCACTCACACACACTCTGACACACACACACACATACACACTTCTCTCTGTCTCTCTCACTGTGCGGGCATGGCAGGCCCCATTCAACTTGAGCATAAGAGAAGCATAGCATCTGCAAAACGGCCTACACAAAGCCCCGGCCAAGCAAATTCCTTTGTTTGTCTCCTGTTTAGTCCCCCTGCAGCCAAAGCCCAGAATCAGCAGTGCCAAGAGTTGAAGGGGAAAGTGCTCACCCAGCGAAAGCCCTAAGTCCCCCATTGTGTGTCCTTTGTGCGGCAAGCCTCGCGATACTGCCGGGCACGCGCCCCGCCGTATATATTGGGGTGTCCAACTTTTTTACTGTTACACTTTCTTACTTGTGGGCCAGGTTGGACAGTATCCAGTGGAAAATGTCGCAGTATTCTGGAAAGGTAAGCAGCACCTGGGTCAACCTGCATTCACACAGCATCAGGTTGGCTATCACTGGGACATAACTGACTGAACAGGGCTCCCTTGAAATATAGTTATTCCGACCTCAATGGGACTACCTGGTTAGAGAGAACTACAGTCAATAAACACATAGGTTTGGGAGTGTACGCATTTACAGGTAGTTAGTGTAGATGTGATAAAATTAGTTTGGAAGTGGAAAATGTACTTTTTCTCATACCATCATGAGGTTAGGTATTGAACAAATAAGTGTTTTTTAGTTTTTCAATTCAACACTGTTAATAAAATGTGGAGGCAATCCTTGGTGAACATTTTAGATTTAGAGATTATTCTAATCAGAGCCATTACTCAGTTTGTCTTGCTGGGAGAAATACACTTAAATCTGTTATGGGAGTTGAAAGCGAATTAATGTCATATTGTATCGTGAATATTTGGAAAAAGTTTAGAGTGTTTCTGATTCTAGTTCTACCGTCAATCTTTTTTTATATATCTAAAAGAGCAAGCAAGGCCTATCAATGGCAGGTAGGGATAATTAGTTGGTGGCTGGCCAATAGGAGTAGACATAACATAGTATTGTATTCATACTGCTAGCCAACTGCTTGCCAACTCTAGTCTTCTGTTCTAGTCTTCTATTCATCTATAGTTGGCTTCAGCATATCTACGGTACTGATCAGTGGAGGCTGCTAACGGGAGGACGGCTCATAATAATGACTGGAACGGAGCAAATTAAATGGCATCAAACACATGGAAACCACGTGTTTGATGTTTTTGATACCATTCCACTAATTCCGCTCCAGCCATTACCACGAGCCCATCCCTCCTAATTAAGGTCCACCAACCTCCTGTGGTAAGGACACAAGGCTGCATGACAAAATGTATTTCTCCACTGAACTGACTGCACCATGCCAACATATACAAATCCACACCTACACTCCAGTGACAAAGTATCCACATGTCCGTCCAGCCTCTAGCCTGGGATCCAAAACTCTTTGCTCTGGACCATTTCACTACATTTGGAGTCATGAACTGGATACAATAAAGTTAAATTGAGCAATTGAGTTTGTATCCAAAGGCTATCCCACCAGGACTTAGGTTCAAATATTATTTGAAATTTCTTTCAAATACTTTAAGCATTTGCTTTAGCCTGCCTGGGTTTGAACTTTTGGGACATTTCTATTGGTTACATTGCAACAGGCAAGCTCAATCAAGCCCAGTTAATCTATAATGATGACAAAAAGTATCTGAACCCAGGTCTGTTGGATCCCACGCTATCCTACCTCCACCTCCCCACCCTAACTAATGAACAATGGTGTTACCCTCCTCTTCTCCACCCACCCATCACAGATCACCTTCTACGAGGGAAAATGCTTCACTGGCAGGCAGCTGGAGGTCAGGGGCGACTGCGATAACTTCCAGGACCGTGGCTTCATGAACCGCGTCAACTCCATCCGTGTGGAGAGCGGCGCCTTCTGCTGCTTCGATCACCCCGACTTCAAGGGACAGCAGTACATCCTGGAGCACGGTGAATACCCCGAGTTCCAGCGTTGGAACAGCCACAACGACCACATGGGCTCCTGCAAGCCCATCAAGATGGTGAGAGATGGGGTTAAGGGTTAAGAATTGAAAGGATAGGAGTTAGGGATTAAGGGGAGTGCTAGTGAGGATGATGAGAGGTTGAAGTTATAGAGCCATTTTTTACTTTAACTAAAAAATACTTCAGATCAATAAGGGGGATGAATGACCAAAGCACAGTTTGGGTGTAGTGTCTGTCATCTTCTTCATTATAACAGTATTCCTATATTTGACTTGAAGAACTTGTGTTAACTCCTCTCCTCTCCTGTGTCCTGCAGCACGGTGAGCACTACAGAATGGAGCTGTTCGAGGCCTGTAACTTCTCCGGCCAGTGTGTGGAGATCTGTGACGACTGCCCCTTCCTGCAGAGCCGTGGCCTCAGCAAGAACTGCATCAACTCCATCAAGGTCTATGGAGATGGAGCGTAAGTAGCGCCCCTCTAGTGTCAGACTGCAATCACACACACACATGCACTGACAAACACACAGGCACTGACAAACACACACACACATGCACTGACAAACACACAGGCACTGACAAACACACACACACATGCAGGGGCGCACAAAAACAGACACACACAGCAATTGTCAAAACGCAGTGATAAATTCATAGTGATTAAACTTTTGGATCTATTTTTGTTGAGCCAAGATATCTAATCTTTTAGCATATGTAATGGTGTTAATTAAGTTGGCGCATAATTAGAACACATGCCAACGATCTTGCTGGTAAATCATAGACACTGCTGAATTTCTAAATAACTTTAACACCACTATTCACACCTGTGGTCACAACTGTTATTTTCCAGGAGGGAGTTCAATATTAAAGGGGAAGTTCTGGATTTTACAACTTGATGTTAGATGGCTCCTCACCCTGAACATAGTCAATTTATTTTAAAAAGACCAAGTCACCTTTAAGTAACATCAAACCACATGTGTAGTTGATTTGAGCTGATTTCAGTTGATTTGATGATATAGGTTTCTGTAATTGATTAATTTATTCATTGTATGGACAGAGTATAGCTATTAGCGAACACACAATACATTTCTATACTTTACTTAATAACGATTACATAATTACATCTTACATATTATTAAATGACACACATAGATATATTTACTGTCGTTCCATCTGCTCTAACAGTGTGTGAAGTGAGCAGGTGTGTGACCATTTCTAACCTGTGTGTGTTTCCTTCTGTAGCTGGGTGATGTATGAGGAGCCTAACTTCCGCGGCCGTATGTACATCGTGGAGAGAGGAGACTACTGCAGTCACAATGAGTGGCAGGCACAGAACCCCAACATCCAGTCCATCCGTAGGGTGGTCAACTACTTCTAAACCTCTTCTCCTATCCTGCCCCAGACCCCGCCCCCGCCCCCGGCATGGACTGTGACTTTTACCACTTACTATGTACAATAAAAAAAGACACCCCCCCAAAAATCACACATCTGTGAGTTATTATTAAGTGTATGAGTACCCCTGGGGGTACCATGCCTATCCACAGGGGGTATTTGTCAAGATTCGTTAAGAATCTTGACCTAATAATTGATTGCACATAAGGGGGTACTTTGGGAAGAGAAAAACCTGACTGGGGTAAAGTAACCAAAAAAGGTTATATATGGAACCAGTGATATTGTATAGAGCGCAGGTATATGGAGTGGCAGTGGCAGAGGAAAAAGGTTAAGAAATACTAACACAATCACCAGTGTTGGGGAAGCTACTCTGAAAATGGAAGAAGTTAAGCTACACTAAAGCTACCCTTAAGACAAATATCCACTGAACAAAAATATAAACGCAACATGCAACAATTTCAAAGATTTTACTGAGTTACAGTTCATATAAGAAAATAAATCAATTGAAATAGATTTGGTAGGCCCTAATCTATGGATTTCACATGACTGGGAATACAGATATGCATATGTTGGTCACAGATACCTTTAAAAAAAAGTAGGGGCGTGGATCAGAAAACCAGTCAGTATCTGTTGTGACCACCATTTGCCTCATGCAAGCGCGACTCATCTCCTTCACATAGAGTTGATTAAGCTATTGATTGTGGCCTGTGGAATGTTGTCCCACTCCTCTTCAATGGCTTTGCGAAGTTGCTGGATATTGGCGGGAACTGGAACACACTGTTGTGCTCTTTGTTAAGTGTTGCAGTGATTTCACTCGCTGTAGTAGCTGACGTGTATAGTGTTGAGTCATCTGCATACATAGACACACTGGCTTTACTCAAGGCCAGTGGCATGTCATTAGTAAGGTTTGAAAACAGTAAGGGGCCTAGACAGCTGCCCTGGGGAATTCCTGATTCTACCTAGATTATGTTGGAGAGGCTTCCATTAAAGAACTGTTAGACAGGTAACTCTATCCACAAAATAGCAAGGGGTGTAAAGCCATAACACATAAGTCTTTCTATCAGCAGACTATGATCGATAATGTCAAAAGCTGCACTGAAGTCTAACAAAACAGCTCCCACAATATTTTTATCATCAATTTCTCTCCGCCAATCATCAGTCATTTGTGTAAGTGCCGTGCTTGTTGAATGTCCTTCCCTATAAGCGTGCTGAGTCAATTTGTTTACAGTAAAATAGCACTATATCTGGTCAAACACCATTTTTACTAAGTGTTGGTAACAGGCTGATTGGTCGGTTATTTGAGCCAGTAAAGGGGGCTTTACTATTCTTGGGTAGCGGAATTACTTTTGCATCCCTCCAGGCCTGAGGACACACACTTTCTAGTAGGTTTAGATTGAAGATATGTCAAATAGGAGTGGCAAGATCGTCCGCTATTGTCCTCAGTAATTTTCCATCCAAGTTGTCAGACCCCAGTGGCTTGTCATTGTTGATAGACAACAATACTTTTTTTCACTTCTTCCACACTCACTTTACGGAATTCAGAATTACAATGCTTCTTTCATAATTTGATCAGTTATACTTGGATGTGTAGTTTCAGCGTTTGTTGCTGGCATGTTATGCCTAAATTTGCTAATCTTGCCAAAAAATCATTAAAGTAATGGAGCTCCCGAGTGGCGCAGTGGTCTAAGGCACTGCATCTCAGTGCTTGAGGCGTCACTACAGACCCCCTGGTTCGATTCCAGGCTGTATCACAACCGGCCGTGATTGGGAGTCCCATAGGGCGGCGCACAATTGGCCCAGCGTCGTCCGGGTTTGGCCGGTGTAGGCCGTCATTGTAAATAAGAATTTGTTCTTAACTGACTTGCCTAGTTAAATAAAGGTAAAATATAAATAAAAAATAAAATATCAGTGGGTTTTGTGATGAATGATCTGATTCAATGAATGATGGGGCTGAGTTGACCTTTTTGCCCAAAATTTAATTTAAGGTGCTCCAAAGCTTTTTACTATCATTCTTTGTCATTTATCTTTGTTTCATAGTATAGTTTCTTCTTTTTATTCAGTTTAGTCACATGATTTCTCAATTTGCAGTACGTTTGCGAATCGGTTGTGCATCCAGACTTATTTGCTATTCCTTTTTACTCATCCCTCTCAACCATACAATTTTTAAATTCCTCATCAATCCACAGGGATTTAATATATATCCAGAGCATCCCAAACATGCTCAATGGGTGACATGTCTGGTGAGTATGCAGTCCATGGAAGAACTGGGACATTTCCAGCTTCCAGGAATTGTGTACAGATCCTTGCGACATGGTGCAGTGCATTATCATGCTGAAACATGACGTGATGGCAGCGGATGAATGGCACGACAATGGGCCTCAGGATCTCGTCATGGTATGTCTGTGCATTCAAATTGCCATCGATAAAATGCAATTGTGTTCGTAGTTCGTAGCTTATGCCTGCCCATACCATAACCCCACCACCATGGGGCACTCTGTTCACAACGTTGACATCAGCAAACTGCTCACCCACATGAAGCCATACATGCTGTCTGCCATCTGCCTGGTACAGTTGAAACCAGGATTCATCCGTGAAGAGCACACTTCTCCAGCGTGCCAGTGGCCATCGAAGGTGAGCATTTTCCCACTGAAGTCAGTTACGTCGCCAAACTGCAGTCAGGTCAAGACCCTGGTGAGGATGATGAGCACGCAGATGAGCTTCCTGACAGTTTGTGCAGAAAGTCTTCGGTTGTGCAAACCCACAGTTTCATCAGCTGTCCGGGTGACTGGTCTCAGACGATCCCGCAGATGAAGAAAGCAGATGTGGAGGTCCTGGGCTGGCGTGGTTATGTGTGGTCTGCGGTTGTGAGGCCGGTTGGATGTACTGCCAAATTCTCTAAAACGACGTTGGAGGTGGCTTATGGTAGAGAAATGAACATTCAATTCTCTGGCAACAACTCTGATGGACATTCCTGCAGTCAGCATGCCAATTGCACGCTCCCTCAAAACTTGAGACATCTGTGGCATTGTGTTGTGTGACAAAACTGCATTTTAGTGGCCTTTTATTGTCCCCAGCACAAGGTGCATCTGTGTAATGATCATACTGTTTAATCAGCTTTTTGATATGCCACACCTGTCAGGTGTATGGATTATCTTGGCAAAGGAGAAATGCTCACTAACAGGGATGTAAACAAATTTGTGCACAGCATTTGAGATAAATAAGCTTTTTGCGCATATTAAACATTTCTGGGATCTTTTATTTCATCTCATGAAACATGGGAACAACACTTTACATGTTGCGTTTTATATTTTGGTTCAGTGTAGTTTACTTAACTAAAGTTACTTTGAGAAAGTAGTTCACTACATCCACACTACTTAGTGATAAATTATCATATCTAAATCTCAAATGTCAGACCACAAATTGCAAGAACAGCTCACTCTGGAGGCATATGTTAACATAATGTGTAATTTAGCCTATTAAACACAAACTGTTTCAAGTGAGAATAAGGGCATGTAATAAGGGCCCATAAGAAAGGAAATTCTTGCTTACTTCACCCATATTTTCTTCATGCAAAAAACATAATGTGTAGTTCCAGTTAGCTACACCGCTACATGGCAAAAAAGTAATTAACTACTGAATGTTACTGTAATTCAACTACCAAAATGTAGTTAAATTACGAGTTGAACTATATGTAGTTCACTACTCCACAACACTGACAATCACAACTGTGAATTGTGAGGTATAAATACATACAAATCACACATGGTCAACAACATAAACCAAATGAGTATTTATTGTTTGTAATAACAGGCTTTATCCAATTCAATTCAAATGACTTTGAAACAAGGACAACCTGAACTATATGGCACTAAGTGCAGTCATGTATTGTCATTTTGGAAATCAAAAGCCATTATATTTTTTTACAAACACACACATTTATTCGAAACATAACATTTAATTTCTTCAAAAGGGATTTCAAACATAAGACAGAGCATAAACAAAAGTATTTGAGATGGAGAAACATAGAACCATCTTTTACAGAAGCAACCAAAAATCCCTTTACCATACAATTAGAAGACACAGTCTCAACTTCTAAATTCTGGGTTGAAATCACAAACATGAACCTTTAATGAAACTTGTGTCCTCTCTTTACCTATAAACCATATAGTAGATAAACATTTTGTTCATAGCTCTATCTTAATTTACTTAATTTTCTTGTCTTTGATCCATGTCAGTTTACTTCCATAAATTATATTCAACCAGTTTCAAATGTTTATGTTATTAAACTCAATAACACTTTAGTACAAAAACAGAAGATACAATTTTAGATATATTGCTTGTGGAGGAGAAACAAAAACAAACCTACACACAAACCTACTAATTTAGGGTCTAAAAAGACTCAAAACAAACACCTGTGGAATAGGAGGTGGTGAAAGTGCTTTCAAAATGGCTGCTGGCTGGACAGTACTTTAGCTGGAGGAGGCACAGTTCTTGTTGAGGTAGGACTTAATCTTGGCTATGACCTCCCTCTCCTCCTCCAGGGTCAGGTCCAGGTAGTCCTCTTCGTGTAGGGGGATGTCCTCCAGCACCTCATTCACCAGGTCCACGTCCATAGGGGCCTCCCCTTGGCTCCCAGAGCCTGGATACACCAATGACAACAGTGTCATGTTCATTAGGGCTCTCCTTTGGCGATTTGGGTATAAAAGGCATCCTGGTGCCTTAAGTATCAGCAGCATATAGACATTGAATGCCTCTTTCTCACATACACCTCTGAACAGTGAAATACTACGGCTAAATTCAATTGTATTAACTGTCTGCATGCTTCTCTGTGTATGTACGTGCGTGCATGTCAGTCCTACCTGCGGACACAGAGGAGGTGCTGGGATCCTCGGACAGTGAGGAGGCGGGAGAGGGGGAGAGCAGCTCTGGGGGCAGGACCCCCTGGTTGTCCTCAGCAGCCTCCTGCTCAAAACCCAGGTATATCAGCTATGGCGAAGGGATAAGGTACCATCTACATACCTTTTACATAGACATAGTGACTAAAGCGAGAGAGAGAAAGAAAGAGGTAGAAGCTTGTTACCTGCTCAACCCTGGATTGATCTATGGGGAGCTCTATGCTGTTGGTTCTAGCAGCAGACTCAGCCTGGGTGGAATCTAGAAGCATCTAGAGGAAACAAGCAAAGTATGCTAGCTTGCTCCTACACTCTTCTGTTAGCTAACGTAACGTTGCTTCATGGCTGTGGTTATGGTGACATGTTTTGATGGTTGGCATATCCTCCTTCAAGGCGTATTGAGAAACAATGGGTGTTTTTGCAGTAGCGGCGATGGTCTCTCACCCTGTAGGCTCCGTCCATGTCTCCGTCTGTCTGATTGAGGGCCCAGGCAGCGTCTTTCTTGGAGTAACCCAGCTCTCTGAGAATAGCCAGGTCCTCCACACGCCTCCTCCTCTTCTCACTCTCCTTCCGTTTCATCTCCTCCCTCTCCTGACAGGGACAGACAAAACCATAGAATTATACTCAATATGGCCACCGGTCCACCCATCATGGGACACCGACTTGAATGGGAATGTTTGTTTTAGTAATTGTATTTCTATGATAACTTCGGTGCTATTAGGACATTTTGCAACTATATCAAGTGAGTGTTGACATCTTTTTTCCACTATGGGATTTCTCATAGGAATATAGGACATCCCCATTCAAGTAAACGTTGTGTCATTCTATTGCTATGGGGGGACACACCTGTCTCCTATGGGTGATTTGCTGCGCGGCCTTGTTTACGATGCCATGGCAGGCCCTCAGACCCAGACGGGCTTCCTGCTCAGAGAACCCCAGATCCATCAGCTCTTTCATCTTCCCTGGGTCCAGACACAGACGCCCATACAGATCCTCAGCCTAGAATACAGCAGGGGTTAAAGGTAGAATCAGTAATATTAAATAATTATACACAAACGCCAATACAGATCCTCCACCTAGAATACAGCAGGGGTTAAAGGTAGAATCAGTAATATTACATTATTGTACACAGACGCCCATACAGATCCTCCACCTAGAACACAGCAGGGGTTAAAGGTAGAGTCAGTAATATATTACAGTGAGGTACCTCCCTGCTTACAGAAATGTTGTTATTAATGTCTGGAGACAAGATGATCTGGAAACAGGGCTATAATGATGTACTACACCTGCTTTAGCTTCTGTGTGGCCTGGTGCTCATTATCACACAAGTGCGCCAGTATGCTCTGCAGGAGGTACAGCCTGAGGAACAGCCCTTCCTCTCGTCCGGTGTTTCCCTAAAAACAAAATCAATTAAGTATATTGAAACGATTGTGAAATTCAGATCTAAATTAGTGCGTCGGGCTAGGGGTTGTTTGTGAACGGAGCCATAGACTAGTGTTTGTGGTTCATCGTCACCTTGATCTTCATGAGCCTCTGCTGCCGCTCTCCGTAGCACTTGAGGAAGCAGTCCTCGGCCCTCTGCAGCCTCTGCTTGCTGTCATCTAAGCAGAACAGGGCCTCCAAGGCTTGGTAGCACCACACGATGTCCAGCTGCAGTACTGCATAGTTGTCCACTGTGCTCAAGAGCTTGGAGCCACACTTACTGTACAGACATAAAATATAATCAGTGTTTCACGGGATCTAATTCCTCATGGACAGGAGCACGTAACATACACTCCCCTCCGTATGTATTTGGACAGTGAAGCTAAAATGTCAAATTTGGCCCTATACTCCAGCATTTTGGATTTTAGATCAAATGTTTCATCTGAGGCGACAGTACAGAATGTCTCCTTTTATTTTAGGGTATTTTCATATCAGTTTTACCGTTTAGAAATGCACTTTCTATATCTAGTCCCCCCATTTGAAGATGTCATAAGTATTTGGACAAAATCACTTAAAGTCTATTAAAGTAGTCAAAAGTTTAGTATTTGGTCCCATATTCCTTGCACACAATGACTGCATCGAGCTTATGACTTTACAAACTTGTTGGATGCATTTACAGCTTGTTTTGGTTGTGTTTCGGATTATGTTTTGCCCAATAAGAAGCAAATTTTGAAGCTGCAAAGCAAATGCGTCCAACGAGTGTGTAGCGTCACAAGCTTGATGTAGTCATTGCGTGCTAGGAATATGGGACCAGAACACTCAACTTTTTACTACTTTAATACATTATTAGTGAATTTTGTCCAAACGCTTTCATTTCTAAACGGTAAAACAGATATGTTTGAAAATACCCTCAAATAAAAGGTGACATTCTGTACTGTCACCTCAGATGAATTTTTTTATTTTAAATCCAAAATGCTGGAGTACAGAGACAAATTTACAATTTTGCTTCGCTGTCCAAATACATACAGAGGAGAGTGTGCATGGTACCATAGCGTCTGTCAACAGATGAATAACAAGAAACGTTGTTCCGGTGCCCTGATTTTTTTAGTCATTGATCATTTGGACAAATCATGTTTTCGCAGGTGATTGCATCTTTCGAATTTCGGAAAGGGAGGGGACATTTGGCTCATAGACTTGCAGAGAGAGGGGGTGGAGCTACCGCCCTGCTTCCGGTCCTCATTCTAGTCTCTTTTCTAACACATCTCCCCCCAGACCTTAATGGAGCATCTGGCGTTATTACACAATATTTTAGTTCTGGCTTTCCATGATTACACAGGATCAGTTTGAGCAATGTGAGGCACAGAATCGCTAATCTTGATCAAATAAGTGAGTTGTTATTTGAGATGCAAGGTGATTTCATGGTGGAACATAGAGTAGAGCTGAGACAATAAATGGAAAATGATCGACACCAACCACTTATCGCAGGCATTTTTCTGATATCGTTCATTACGATAAGTAGCCTATACTAGAGAAATGTGAAGTTTGAAATTAAATAAAGTTTGCTAATATGGGTGATTGTTCATGGGACAATTAATGGCTACAACCATCAAACTACTAGTAGTAGTTGAAATCAAATGTTATTGGCCACATACACATATTTAGCAGATGTTATTGCGGGTGAGGCGACATGCTTGGATAATAAATTAAAAAATCCCCCCCCAAAATGTTTTCTCTCCATATTGCCCAGCTCTTAACATAGAGTACTGTACATTCAATATGGGATCAAATAATCATACAATAATAAAATGATCTAACATGCCAATCATACAATCATCTTTGAATCAGAAATGGACTGGGTGTTTTGATCTGTTTCAACAAATTATTTATGTGATTTAGAGGAAGGTTTTTTACCCAAACTGGTCGTCAGCTTGCACCAGGTGGCACAGAGCAGCGTCATACTGTTTCTTCTTCATCAGAGCGCGGCCTTTCTCATGGAACCCCATGGCTAGAATCAGAGCCTTAGGACAAAAATCACACAGCCTTAGAAATAGTCAGTTTGTGTGCTGTGGAGTTACAATCAGTGGAGTTTAAATTCACACAGGACACATGGCATGGTTGGAACCATAGTTACCATTCAAGCCATAAATTGTGTGAGCTTGCCGCCCACTCATACTGCTTACCATGACAGTTATGAATATAATATTGGTCATATGTTCATGAGTCCTTTGTATAGACTACCTTTTTCTTACTGTGAGGTATTTTCAGGGGATTCCCCTTCTGATCAGCAATCTCTAGGAATGGAGTCATGGCTGGGTCATCGGTGCCATCTAAAATGACAACCAAACCACAGAACAACCATAAAATAATATTCCTGTAGCATTGTGATAACGTTGTGATTGTGTTTAAAAGCAGTGAGGGTCTAACTAACCTCTCTCTGAGAGGATCTGGAAGCCCTTCTGGGTTCTCTGGACACTCTGGTCCTGGGTTCTCTTCTTCTCCTCCAACTCCACCATCTGTTTCTTCCTCTCCGGCTCGCTCACCAGCAGAACCATAATCTTACTGTTGTTCTTCACGTTCTGTTCATCCAGACGCTTCTCTGTAAAGAGAAACCATTTCAATGCAAAGTTGAAATGACCAAACATAATAAAAGCTTATAGGCATTGATTAGATGGGCGTTGTGGCAACTAAATGGAAACTTACCAGGAGTCAGTGTCTTCCCTCTAAAAATTAACTGAATGTATTTGAGTCCATATTGTTCAGTAATCCTATACAAATGTAGGAAGAAAGTAGCACCTTATCAATTTGTGACTTTGATAGACATAATAATCTGAGAATGAAGTGACAGTGCATCACTTCACCCACAGATCACATTATAAAAGATTGAAATTGCAATGGCCATTTTCACTTACCTATCCATGATATCTTGTGCAGGGACATCCAGTTTAGTCTCCAAATAGTTATTCTTCTTGGCATCCTAAAGGAATGGGTAAAAATGTGGAATTACTTTATTTTCTGTAGGCTGTGTCAGGGCAAACACACACACAAACCTTTTTCAAGTCTTTAGGCAGAAGGAGTTCCACGCATGTCTCTCTGTAGGTCTTGTCCCCCGTTTTGCTCTTTACTGCCTGGGATCGGATGCTCTCCAAGGCACTCGCCACTTCAGACACCTAGAAGCACACAATGGGGGCATAGTTCACTGCAAGCTCCTGCAATGACAACAGTGACACACAGACAGAGTAACAAACTATCCCTATCTCACAAAGCTGACTCACAGTCAGGTCACAGACCAACGAGCTCAATGAACATCAATACATTTAGAATGGCTATAACTGTTGGTCACCTAGCTAGCTAACTTTACCTGAAGAGGTTGCTGTCCTGCCTCGCTGTCTTCTGTGGTGTGCGGTGGGTTCCTGAGCTGAATAGTATCTTGTTTTAAAATATTTACCAGCTTTGCCTGAATATGTAGCTCCGCCATTCTCGAAACTGTGGAAAAATATGGAAGGAAAAGTGAAAGTGAACAGCCAGCCAGCAAACAAAGGGGGAATTCCACAGGATGAGTAGAGCAACATTATGTTGCGCTAACTACGCAGTCGCAGAACACTACAACAACAGACTAGCTAGCTACATTCGTTGTTTTCGGTTTCTTTCAAGATATACCAAATTAATGACTCACGTTTGAAGTGTTGTTAACATTGTCGCCGTATTATTCTGATAGAAACATGTCTGAACCGAGGTAGGTAGTTTAGTGGTTAAGAGCGTTTGCCAGTAATCGAAAGGTCGCTGGTTCTAATCCCCGAGCCGACTAGGTGAAAAATCTGTCGATGTGCCCTTGAGCAAGGCACTTAACCCTAATTGCTCTGGATAAGAGCGTCTGCTAAATGACGTAAATGTAATGTTGTTGTTTTGCTTCTCTTTCACTTCCACACTGGATAAGAGCGTCTGCTAAATGACGTAAATGTAATGTTGTTGTTTTGCTTCTCTTTCACTTCCACACTAGGATAGGTCACGTGGTCGAATTTGTCTTCGCTCTCAAAACACAGAGCGCTTCTGGAAAGTGGTTCTTCTTCTTTAAGGTTTTATGTCAGACTACACCTATTGGTGTATTACCACCACCTACTGTACGGGTAGTGTACAAAAAAATACAAATATCCATTGCAGGAAAGGGGAGGGGGTACCAACGTCATACAATACAAAAATAAAATACATCCCAAAAATCCCCACCCCACTCCATTAGTGAAAATCCAAATCACATCATCTGCCTGTGTGAACGGAACATTCATCGACAGGATTCCTTGTAATGCCTCTGCTGTAAAATGTATGAGACCCCCAAAAAAGGTCAGCCGCACTCGATGTCTATTTTCTCAGATTTCTGGAATGCGTTTGTCACTAGTTACCACAGCCACAAAGTCTAAACGGCTGGATCGTACAAATTCTGATGTATTTTTTGCATTTTGGTCTTCATTTAAGGTTAGTGATGGGCATAAAGTTAAGTTAGCAGTGTGGTAAAGGTTAGGGTCAAGGTTAGGGCTAGGTAGGAAAACTTTTAGAAAGTAGTTCACTACATCCACACTACTTAGTGATAAATTAATAATATCTACATCTCAAATGTCAGACCACAAATTGCAAGAACAGCTCACTCTGGAGGCATATGTTAACATAATGTGTAATTTAGCCTATTAAACACAAACTGTTTCAAGTGAGAATAAGGGCATGTAATAAGGGCACATAAGAAAGGAAATTCTTGCTTACTTCACCCATATTTTCTTCATGTAAAAAACGTAATGTGTAGTTCCAGTTAGCTACACCGCTACATGGCAAAAAAGTAATTAACTACTGAATGTTAATGTAATTCAACTACCACCAAGCTACTGCAAAATGTAGTTAAATTACGAGTTCACAACTGTGAATTGTGAGGTATAAATACATACAAATCAGTATAAATACATACAAATCACACATGGCCAACAACAAACCAAATGAGTATTTATTGTTTGTAATAACAGGCTTCATTCAATTCAATTCAAATGACTTTGAAACAAGGACAACCTGAACTATATGCCACTACGTGCAGTCATGTATTGTCATTTTGGAAATCAAAGCCCATAAAAAATGTTTTACAAACACACACATTTAATCTAAACATAACATTTAGTTTTAATTTCCCTTAATCCAATTCCTTCAAATGGGATTTCAAACATAAGACAGAGCATAAACAAAAGTATTTGAGATGGAGAAACATACAGTGGGGGAATAAAGTATTTAGTCAGCCACCAATTGTGCAAGTTCTCCCACTTAAAAAGATGAGAGAGGCCTGTAATTTTCATCATAGGTACACGTCAACTATGACAGACAAAATGAGAAAGAAAATCACATTGTAGGATTTTTAATGAATTTATTTGCAAATTATGGTGGAAAATAAGTATTTGGTCAATAACAAAAGTTTCTCAATACTTTGTTATATACCCTTTGTTGGCAATGACACAGGTCAAACGTTTTCTGTAAGTCTTCACAAGGTTTTCACACACTGTTGCTGGTATTTTGGCCCATTCTGTCACACCCTGGCTCTGGGACTCTATATGTTGAGCCAGGGTGTGTTCATTCTATGTGTTATATTTCTATGTTGGGGGTTCTAGTTCTTCTGTTTCTTTGTTGGCCTGAGTGACTCCCAATCAGAGGCAACGAGTGTCAGCTGTGGCTGGTTGTCTCTGATTGGGAGCCATATTTAAACTGTCTGTTTTCCCTTGGTGTTTGTGGGTTTTTGTTCCAGTTGGTCATTGTTACCTAGGACGTTACGAGTCGTTTTGTTGTTTTGTATCGTGTGTGCACTTTAACTAATTAAAGTATGTTCGCTCAACACGCTGCGCCTTGGTCCTCCTCTATGTATGACGATCATGACAGAAAAACCCACCATACCAGGACCAAGCAGCGTGTCCAGGAGCAGGCAGCCTGGACGTGGGAGCAGATTTTGGACGGGCAGGGGTCCTGGACCTGGGAGGAAATCCTGTTCCTGCCACTCGCACCAAGCCAGGGGTGCGAGTCGTCAGCCTGGTCCGGCCCGTTCCTACTCCACGCACCAAGCCAGGGGTGCGCATCGTCAGCCCGGCCTGTTCCTGCCACTCGCACCAAGTCTACGGTGCGCGTCGCCAGCCCGGCCCGGCCTGTTCCTGCCACTCGCACCAAGCCAGGGGTGCGAGTCGTCAGCCTGGTCCGGCCCGTTCCTACTCCACGCACCAAGCCAGGGGTGCGAGTCGTCAGCCTGGTTCGGCCCGTTCCTACTCCACGCACCAAGCCAGGGGTGCGAGTCGTCAGCCCGGTCCGGCCCGTTCCGGCTCCACGCACCAAGCCAGGGGTGCGCGTCGTCAGTCCAGCACAACCCGTGCCTGGGTCACCGGTGCCTGGTAAGGTACCGGTCAACGGCTCCACTACGGAGCTGAAGCTAACCGCTCCTGCTACGTCCAGTTCAGCTCCAGCCAGCGGAGCCAGACCGGACCAGGGGCGCTATGGGGGGTTTATTGGAGGGTGGTGGGCAAGGCCGGAGCCAGAACCGCCGCCGAGGAGGAATGCCCAACCAGCCCTCCCCTGTTTTGTTCTAGTGGAGGCGCGGTCGCAGTCCGCGCCTTTAGGGGGGGGAACTGTCACACCCTGGCTCTGGGACTCTATATGTTGAGCCAGGGTGTGTTCATTCTATGTGTTATATTTCTATGTTGGGGGTTCTAGTTCTTCTGTTTCTTTGTTGGCCTGAGTGACTCCCAATCAGAGGCAACGAGTGTCAGCTGTGGCTGGTTGTCTCTGATTGGGAGCCATATTTAAACTGTCTGTTTTCCCTTGGTGTTTGTGGGTTTTTGTTCCAGTTGGTCATTGTTACCTAGGACGTTGCGAGTCGTTTTGTTGTTTTGTATCGTGTGTGCACTTTAACTAATGAAAGTATGTTCGCTCAACACGCTGCGCCTTGGTCCTCCTCTATGTATGACGATCGTGACACATTCCTCCATGCAGCTCTCCTCTAGAGCAGTGATGTTTTGGGGCTGTCGCTGGGCAACACGGACTTTCAACTCCCTCCAAAGATTTTCTATGGGGTTGAGATCTGGAGACTGGCTAGGCCACTCCAGGACCTTGAAATGCTTCTTACGAAGCCACTCCTTCGTTGCCCGGGCGGTGTGTTTGGGATCATTGTCATGCTGAAAGACCCAGCCACGTTTCATCTTCAATGCCCTTGCTGATGGAAGGAGGTTTTCACTCAAAATCTCACGATACATGGCCCCATTCATTCTTTCCTTTACACGGATCAGTCGTCCTGGTCCCTTTGCAGAAAAACAGCCCCAAAGCATGATGTTTCCACCCCCCATGCTTCACAGTAGGTATGGTGTTCTTTGGATGCAACTCAGCATTCTTTGTCCTCCAAACACGACGAGTTGAGTTTTTACCAAAAAGTTCTATTTTGGTTTCATCTGACCATATGACATTCTCCCAATCCTCTTCTGGATCATCCAAATGCACTCTAGCAAACTTTAGACGGGCCTGGACATGTACTGGCTTAAACAGGGGGACACGTCTGGCACTGCAGGATTTGAGTCCCTGGCGGCGTAGTGTGTTACTGATGGTAGGCTTTATTACTTTGGTCCCAGCTCTCTGCAGGTCATTCACTAGGTCCCCCCATGTGGTTCTGTGATTTTTGCTCACCGTTCTTGTGATCATTTTGACCACACGGGGTGAGATCTTGCGTGGAGCCCCAGATCGAGGGAGATTATCAGTGGTCTTGTATGTCTTCCATTTCGTAATAATTGCTCCCACAGTTGATTTATTCAAACCAAGCTGCTTACCTATTGCAGATTCAGTCTTCCCAGCCTGGTGCAGGTCTACAATTGTGTTTCTGGTGTCCTTTGACAGCTCTTTGGTCTTGGCCATAGTGGAGTTTGGAGTGTGACTGTTTGAGGTTGTGGACAGGTGTCTTTTATACTGATAACAAGTTCAAACAGGTGCCATTAATACAGGTAACGAGTGGAGGACAGAGGAGCCTCTTAAAGAAGAAGTTACAGGTCTGTGAGAGCCAGAAATCTTGCTTGTTTGTAGGTGACCAAATACTTATTTTCCACCATAATTTGCAAATAAATTCATTAAAAATCCTACAATGTGATTTTCTGGAAAAATGTTTCTCAATTTGTCTGTCATAGTTGACGTGTACCTATGATGAAAATTACAGGCCTCTCTCATCTTTTTAAGTGGGAGAAGTTGCACAATTGGTGGCTGACTAAATACTTTTTTCCCCCACTGTATAACCATCTTTTACACAAGCAAATCCCTTTACCATACAATTAGAAGACTCAGTCTCAACTTCTAAATTCTGGGTTGAAATCACAAACATGAACCTTTAAATAATCAAACTTGTGTCCTCTCTTTACCTATAAACCATATAGTAGATAAACATTTTGTTCATAGCTCTATCTTAATTTACTTAATTTTCTTGTTTTGATCCATGTCAGTTTACTTCCATAAATTATATTCAACCAGTTTCAAATGTTTATGTTATTAAACTCAATAACACTTTAGTACAAAAACAGAAGATACAATTTTAGATATATTGCTTGTGGAGGAGAAACAAAAACAAACCTACTCACAAACCTACTAATTTAGGGTCTAAAAAGACTCAAAAACAAACACCTGTGGAATAGGAGGTGGTGAAAGTGCTTTCAAAATGGCTGCTGGCTGGACAGTACTTTAGCTGGAGGAGGCACAGTTCTTGTTGAGGTAGGACTTAATCTTGGCTATGACCTCCCTCTCCTCCTCCAGGGTCAGGTCCAGGTAGTCCTCTTCGTGTAGGGGGATGTCCTCCAGCACCTCATTCACCAGGTCCACGTCCATAGGGGCCTCCCCTTGGCTCCCAGAGCCTGGATACACCAATGACAACAGTGTCATGTTCATTAGGGCTCTCCTTTGGCGATTTGGGTATAAAAGGCATCCTGGTGCCTTAAGTATCAGCAGCATATAGACATTGAATGTCTCTTTCTCACATACACCTCTGAACAGTGAAATACTACGGCTAAATTCAATTGTATTAACTGTCTGCATGCTTCTCTGTGTATGTACGTGCGTGCATGTCAGTCCTCCCTGTGGACACGGAGGAGGTGCTGGGATCCTCGGACAGTGAGGAGGCGGGAGAGGGGGAGAGCAGCTCTGGGGGCAGGACCCCCTGGTTGTCCTCAGCAGCCTCCTGCTCAAAACCCAGGTATATCAGCTATGGCGAAGGGATAAGGTACCATCTACATACCTTTTACATAGACATAGTGACTAGAGAGAGAGAGAGAAAGAGGTAGAAGCTTGTTACCTGCTCAACCCTGGATTGATCTATGGGGAGCTCTATGCTGTTGGTTCTAGCAGCAGACTCAGCCTGGGTGGAATCTAGAAGCATCTAGAGGAAACAAGCAAAGTATGCTAGCTTGCTCCTACACTCTTCTGTTAGCTAACGTAACGTTGCTTCATGGCTGTGGTTATGGTGACATGTTTTGATGGTTGGCATATCCTCCTTCAAGGCGTATTGAGAAACAATGGGTGTTTTTGCAGTAGCGGCGATGGTCTCTCACCCTGTAGGCTCCGTCCATGTCTCCGTCTGTCTGATTGAGGGCCCAGGCAGCGTCTTTCTTGGAGTAACCCAGCTCTCTGAGAATAGCCAGGTCCTCCACACGCCTCCTCCTCTTCTCACTCTCCTTCCGTTTCATCTCCTCCCTCTCCTGACAGGGACAGACAAAACCATAGAATTACACTCAATATGGCCACCGGTCCACCCATCATGGGACACCGACTTGAATGGGAATGTTTGTTTTAGTAATTGTATTTCTATGATAACTTCGGTGCTATTAGGACATGTTGCAACTATATCAAGTGAGTGTTGACATCTTTTTTCCACTATGGGACTTCTCATAGAAATATAGGACATCCCCATTCAAGTAAACGTTGTGTCATTCTATTGCTATGGGGGGGGGGGGACCTGTCTCCTATGGGTGATTTGCTGCGCGGCCTTGTTTACGATGCCATGGCAGGCCCTCAGACCCAGACGGGCTTCCTGCTCAGAGAACCCCAGATCCATCAGCTCTTTCATCTCCCCTGGGTCCAGACACAGACGCCCATACAGATCCTCAGCCTAGAACACAGCAGGGGTTAAAGGTAGAATCAGTAATATTAAATAATTATACACAAACGCCAATACAGATCCTCCACCTAGAATACAGCAGGGGTTAAAGGTAGAATCAGTAATATTACATTATTGTACACAGACGCCCATACAGATCCTCCACCTAGAACACAGCAGGGGTTAAAGGTAGAGTCAGTAATATATTACAGTGAGGTACCTCCCTGCTTACAGAAATGTTGTTATTAATGTCTGGAGACAAGAGGATCTGGAAACAGGGCTATAATGATGTACTACACCTGCTTTAGCTTCTGTGTGGCCTGGTGCTCATTATCACACAAGTGCGCCAGTATGCTCTGCAGGAGGTACAGCCTGAGGAACAGCCCTTCCTCTCGTCCGGTGTTTCCCTAAAAACAAAATCAATTAAGTATATTGAAACGATTGTGAAATTCAGATCTAAATTAGTGCGTCGGGCTAGGGGTTGTTTGTGAACGGAGCCATAGACTAGTGTTTGTGGTTCATCGTCACCTTGATCTTCATGAGCCTCTGCTGCCGCTCTCCGTAGCACTTGAGGAAGCAGTCCTCGGCCCTCTGCAGCCTCTGCTTGCTGTCATCTAAGCAGAACAGGGCCTCCAAGGCTTGGTAGCACCACACGATGTCCAGCTGCAGTACTGCATAGTTGTCCACTGTGCTCAAGAGCTTGGAGCCACACTTACTGTACAGACATAAAATATAATCAATATGTTTCACGGGATCTAATTCCTCGTGGACAGGAGCACGTAACATACACTCCCCTCCGTATGTATTTGGACAGTGAAGCTAAAATATCAAATTTGGCCCTATACTCCAGCATTTTGGATTTTAGATCAAATGTTTCATCTGAGGCGACAGTACAGAATGTCTCCTTTTATTTTAGGGTATTTTCATATCAGTTTTACCGTTTAGAAATGCACTTTCTATATCTAGTCCCCCCATTTGAAGATGTCATAAGTATTTGGACAAAATCACTTAAAGTCTATTAAAGTAGTCAAAAGTTTAGTATTTGGTCCCATATTCCTTGCACACAATGACTGCATCGAGCTTATGACTTTACAAACTTGTTGGATGCATTTACAGCTTGTTTTGGTTGTGTTTCGGATTATGTTTTGCCCAATAAGAAGCAAATTTTGAAGCTGCAAAGCAAATGCGTCCAATGAGTGTGTAGCGTCACAAGCTTGATGTAGTCATTGCGTGCTAGGAATATGGGACCAGAACACTCAACTTTTTACTACTTTAATACATTATCAGTGAATTTTGTCCAAACACTTGCTTTCATTTCTAAACGGTAAAACAGATATGTTTGAAAATACCCTCAAATAAAAGGTGACATTCTGTACTGTCACCTCAGATGAAACATTTTATTTTAAATCCAAAATGCTGGAGTAAAGAGACAAATTTACAATTTTGCTTCGCTGTCCAAATACATACAGAGGAGAGTGTGCATGGTACCATAGCGTCTGTCAACAGATGAATAACAAGAAACTTTGTTCCGGTGCCCTGATTTTTTTAGTCATTGATCATTTGGACAAATCATGTTTTCGCAGGTGATTGCATCTTTCGAATTTCGGAAAGGGAGGGGACATTTGGCTCATAGACTTGCAGAGAGAGGGGGTGGAGCTACCGCCCTGCTTCCGGTCCTCATTCTAGTCTCTTTTCTAACACATCTCCCCCCAGACCTTAATGGAGCATCTGGCGTTATTACACAAGATTTTAGTTCTGGCTTTCCATGATTACACAGGATCAGTTTGAGCAATGTGAGGCACAGAATCGCTAATCTTGATCAAATAAGTGAGTTGTTATTTGAGATGCAAGGTGATTTCATGGTGGAACATAGAGTAGAGCTGGGACAATAAATGGAAAATTATCGACACCAACCACTTATCGCAGGCATTTTTCTGATATCGTTCATTACGATAAGTAGCCTATACTAGAGAAATGTGAAGTTTGAAATTAAATAAAGTTTGCTAATATGGGTGATTGTTCATGGGACAATTAATGGCTACAACCATCAAACTACTAGTAGTAGTTGAAATCAAATGTTATTGGCCACATACACATATTTAGCAGATGTTATTGCGGGTGAGGCGACATGCTTGGATAATAAATAAAAAAATCCACAAAAAATATTTTTTCTCTCCATATTGCCCAGCTCTTAACATAGAGTACTGTACATTCAATATGGGATCAAATAATCATACAATAATAAAATGATCTAACATGCCAATCATACAATCATCTTTGAATCAGAAATGGACTGGGTGTTTTGATCTGTTTCAACAAATTATTTATGTGATTTAGAGGAAGGTTTTTTACCCAAACTGGTCGTCAGCTTGCACCAGGTGGCACAGAGCAGCGTCATACTGTTTCTTCTTCATCAGAGCGCGGCCTTTCTCATGGAACCCCATGGCTAGAATCAGAGCCTTAGGACAAAAATCACACAGCCTTAGAAATAGTCAGTTTGTGTGCTGTGGAGTTACAATCAGTGGAGTTTAAATTCACACAGGACACATGGCATGGTTGGAACCATAGTTACCATTCAAGCCATAAGTTGTGTGAGCTTGCCGCCCACTCATACTGCTTACCATGACAGTTATGAATATAATATTGGTCATATGTTCATGAGTCCTTTGTATAGACTACCTTTTTCTTACTGTGAGGTATTTTCAGGGGATTCCCCTTCTGATCAGCAATCTCTAGGAATGGAGTCATGGCTGGGTCATCGGTGCCATCTAAAATGACAACCAAACCACAGAACAACCATAAAATAATATTCCTGTAGCATTGTGATAACGTTGTGATTGTGTTTAAAAGCAGTGAGGGTCTAACTAACCTCTCTCTGAGAGGATCTGGAAGCCCTTCTGGGTTCTCTGGACACTCTGGTCCTGGGTTCTCTTCTTCTCCTCCAACTCCACCATCTGTTTCTTCCTCTCCGGCTCGCTCACCAGCAGAACCATAATCTTACTGTTGTTCTTCACGTTCTGTTCATCCAGACGCTTCTCTGTAAAGAGAAACCATTTCAATGCAAAGTTGAAATGACCAAACATAATACAAGTTTATAGGCATTGATTAGATGGGCGTTGTGGCAACTAAATGGAAACTTACCAGGAGACAGTGTCTTCCCTCTAAAAATTAACTGAATGTATTTGAGTCCATATTGTTCAGTAATCCTATACAAATGTAGGAAGGCACCTTATATTTAGCCTCATCAGGACAACCAGGGCTACAAGTAGAACAGTTGTATTCATGAGTTTTAGTGAGAAAATGTCCAACAACAAAAGAAAGGTCAGCCAAAGCAAAAACCTGATAAAAATGAATTTATATGAATGCTATACAAGTACAGAAATCATTTGCTCACTGGAAAATTAATATTCAACTAGTCAGTAACAACTGTGTGGAGTTTGGAGCTTGTGACAGAAATTATGTGAGCTTATTACAGTATTATAGACACTACGTCCTGGGATTTCCTATGATCTTCTATGTAGAAGAACCCCTTACCTTCTAACGAATCTTGAGCAAAACATGTGCGTGTTCGTGGGAGTCTCAGTTTTTCAAAGATGGCTGTTAACAGTGTGTAGCTCAAACCATTCGGACTCTACAGACGGTTTTGTAAAAAGACCCGGCCCCTTCGGGATCTGCTCTTGTCTCACAAACACCACTCTAGCTCAGCCCCCGTTAAACACACAGGCTAATGGTTGGTATGTACGGATGCAGAAGAAATAGACCCAACCAATGGTACAACCCATGGTAGCTCAAACACACAATGTTTAAAAGGGGTTAGAAGTCCAAAACGTGCCGGCGTTACGTGGGAGTCGTTGGCTTAATGTAGCTCATACATTTAAATGTTTAGTTATATTTTATTCCACCTGTTATTACCCTAACAATTGGTAAATGGACTCTTGCATATTTTCCTGGGATGAATGCTGTAATAAAAAATAAAAAAAAGCGCACCATTGTCTGACAGGCCTAATCATGTGCATTGTTTCAGCCCAACATTGCCATCCTTGTATTGACAATGTACTCAAATCTTCAGTAGGCTATTCAACTCTGCAATAACAATGCTCCAATGACAATGCATAATAAATTGTGCACACAACCTTTATCTAAATGTTTGGGGTCAGATTAGGAGATGGGCTAGGTCAGGACCATGAAGCTGAAAACACTGAGTTTACAACATGTGCAGAGAGACTGAGACGTGACAACACACCTGCTAATAGAACATTTACATTTACATTTTAGTCATTTAGCAGACGCTCTTATCCAGAGCGACTTACAGTTAGTGAATACATATATATATTTTTTTTTATACTGGCCCCCCCGTGGGAAACGAACCCACAACCCTGGCATTGCAAACACCATGCTCTATCAACTGAGCTACATCCCTGCCGGCCATTCCCTCCCCTACCCTGGACGACGCTGGGCCAACTGTGCGCCGCCCATGAGTCTCCCGGTCGCGGCCGGCTGCGACAGAGCCTGGATTCGAACCAGGATCTCTAGTGGCACAGTTAGCACTGCGATGCAGTGCCTTAGACCACTGCGCCACTCAGGAGAGCACAGAAGAGGGAAGACCATCAAAAGCATGGTAGGCCTACCTTTTAAAATTACATAAAAAGCATGGTAGGCCTACCTTTTAAAATTACATCAAAAGCATGGTAGGCCTACCTTTTAAAATTACATAAAAAGCATGGTAGGCCTACCTTTTAAAATTACATCAAAAGCATGGTAGGCCTACCTTTTAAAATTACATCAAAAGCATGGTAGGCTCTACCTTTAAAAATTACATCAAAAGCATGGTAGGCTCTACCTTTAAAAATTACATCAAAAGCATGGTAGGCTCTACCTTTAAAAATTACATCAAAAGCATGGTAGGCTCTACCTTTAAAAATTACTCATACAAACAGTTTTGATGTGATTTTAAAATTTTCATTATGCATTTAGAAGTACTGTACATAGGCTACCATATTTAATTAATGCATCATGTCTGCACATTCCATCTGGATTGCTGGGATTCATCTTATTGTATGACAATAATATGCACACCAGAGAATAATCAGTCATTTTCCAGTCACATATTTGTTCAGTGGCAACAGCCTGTCCATATTATTTTTATGTTTTACCAGTGGAGGCTCCTGAGGGGAGGACGGCTCATAATAATGGCTGGAAAGAAGTGAATGGAACGGCATCAAACACATGGAACCCCCATGTGTTTGATGTATTTGATACCATTCCACTTATTCCGCTCCAGCCATTACCACGAGCCCATCCTCCCCAATTAAGGTGCCACCAACCTCCTGTGTTTTTAACCCTATCAGTCCCGAGACCCCAGCAAAAATCGGCTTTTCATTTATCTGACTTTCATTTATCTGCATGTCCAGCTCTTATATTTAGCCTCACAATTAAGTGTTTTACTATTTTCCTTTCAGGACAACCAGAGCTACAAGTAGAACACAAGTCAATTTGACATAAACAGTTGCATTCATTAGTTTTATTGACAAATGTCCAACAACAAAAATAAGGTCTGCCAAAGCAAAAACCTGATAAAAATGAATTTATATGAATGCTGAGTACAGAAATAATTTGCTCACTGGAAAATGAATATCCAACAAGTCAGTAACAACTGTGTGGAGTTTGGAGTTTGTGACAGAAATTATGTGATCTTATTACAGTATTATAGACACTACGTCCTGGGATTTCCTATGATCTTCTAATGAATCTTGAGCAAAACATGTGCGTGTTTGTGGGAGTCTCAGTTTTTCATAGATGGCTTTTAACAGATTGTAGCTCAAACCATTCGGACTCTACAGAAGTTTTTGTGAAAAGACCCCAGGCCCCTTTCGGGATCCGCCCTTGTCTCACAAACACCACTCTAGCTCAGCCCACGTTAATCACACAGACTAATGGTTGGTATGCATGGATGCAGAAGAAATAGAAAAATCCAATGGTACAATTTCACTCAATGGGTGGAGATGGATACCCTTCTCAGCCATGATGAAACTCAAACGTTAACATATTAACCTATATAGGGCAAGGCACAGCATCTTACATGACATTATTTGCATGGCTGCATACCAAATGTCCTTTATAGCAACTCAACAAGATTAGTTCAATGCTGCAGAAACATAGAAAACATTGTCTATTGCACTATAAACTGTAACGGACTCTCTCCCTCTCATAGAATCTGATCAGAATGATGCGTACATCCCAAGTCTCCTAGCAGCTTCCGACTTCTTGGGCCCTTTTCTTTGGGGGAAGGGGTAGTGGTGATGGGGGCTAGAGGAGAGAAGAGGCGGCCGCTGCCCCCCAAAACTCAGTTGTCTGGACAAAACGGCTGGGGCTGAGAACTTCCGGGAGCCTGAACTGCTGATACCGGTATGGATAGAAATAGAATCCCCAAAGACCTTCTCACTGGAAGTCTCCGGAAAGTCTTCAGAGAGCGAAGTAAAACTAGAAGAATTACTGCCTGTGATTGTGGGGTTTGGATGTGGTGGTATAATAACGTTGGTCTGTCGGTGGATACCCAAGTGTTTGCGCCATGGGGCTCTCTCCAGGTCCCCAACAAAGTCAATCTCAGCCTCTGAGACCGACCTCTTCCTCTCGTGTTTGCTCTTCATCTCCTGGTTGACTGGGACTACATTGACCAGGGCTTGCCCACTGATTTCTGCTGCATCATCAGTTGATACTGTCAGGAAATAGAATGGAAATGTACAGGTAGGTTTACACACAGTCATCTGCAATCAACATTCCAGCTCAATGGAAAATTACTTATTGATGAAGTCATGTTTATTGTAACAAAAATATTACTTGTGTTCAAATGACCACATTTCCAGTATAGCCTAACTGCAGTATAACTGTATTTTGTTGCTCAAAGCAGGCTAGCAGGAAAAGCTTTTGTATGAAGAAACAAAAGTAGCCAAGACTAATGCTGTCCTCAAGGACTCACATTCACATGATATAAATCCATAATAAATCAATTATTGCTACTTTGTTGCAACAAATGACCTTGAGGACGCACAATATTGTCTACAATTTAACAACTTGTTGCCAGTGCAGACGCGTCACACAAAATGTTCAGACAAAACTGGGCCATGTTAAGTTGCCAAACGTTATCGAACGTTGCAAATAGAAATGCCTAGAATAAAGCCGATGTGATTCCTTATTCTACATGTCAGACAGGCATGTTTGCGTCCTGCTGAACGCGCCCCTGGTTGGGTGCGTGCCAAGCTCGCACAGCACTCCTCGAAAGCGATGTCTCTACCTTGTCTGAATAAAACCACCAGGGTCTGTCGCTTTTGTTTCTCTTTAGTCAAGTTGTACTGTTCCCTCAAAAGTGCAATGTCCATCCTGGTTAGGTCCGCGACAATTTCGCTTTGGTCCTCTTCTTCGACCAAATGATTCACGTCTCCGTTGGTTGTTCCACTACGACTCCGGGATCTTATCGGTTCCCAGGAACACGTCGAATTGGAACAGCAGCACGACAACATCCTGTTTGCATTGATAACCAATGTAGATGTTTATTTCCCCAATCAAAGAAGGCACAGCTGGTAGATATAATGATGAGTAGTTATCCACCTGCTGCCGGCAGTATAGCCTATATGGCACTGTCTGCATCTCAGTAGGTGTAGTACAGGCTAGTCTACAGTGGTTCAAAAGTTTGAGTGATGTGCAAACAATTGAGGACAATTGAAGGTTGCCCTTTTCATTTTACAGTAGACCAAGTAGGCTTAGGTGCAGTACAATGTGTTGTGTAGTGTAGTTTTGGTGAAAGGTGAAAACAGCTTATGGTTATGATAGGCTAAAGTAAAATAGGTGAATAGGTAAAGTAAAGTCCCAAACATAATAGATGGCCTACAGTAAACTAGGCTACACAAACATCAAGTTACTTAAATCCTCATACTAAATAATCCAGTAGGCTTTTATTATCTGTAGGCCTAACAATCAACATTGATTTACATGTTCATACATTATGTTCTGGAAAAATGTGTTGAATGACCCAGTTGTTACTTCGGCTTGCACTGACACAGTATATTGACACAGTGTTGTTGAAGTTGTGGGTGAGTCCTGCTTTGGAGCAATGACTTAAATGGATGACATGGTGGTGGTGACACATCTAGTAGGTGTACCCGCACTTCAAAAAAAAAACTCACAGAAAATGTGCCCTTAGTTCAATGTTTAGTCTACTCACAGATCACTCCTTTGCCTCAACATTATTTTCCTGATGCTTTCTCCTTACTAAAGCAGTGAGGCCTGTGTTTCAAACATATCATTACCACAGTGATTTTCTATGCAAACAGTCCCACTTCCATGAATTGTTCGAGGAGACTTGGATTTCCTGTTTCTGAAAAGTAAGCGGTGAGCTGATGATAACTGATTCAGCAAATTAAATAACAAAATGGGTCTCTCACTCTCTCTCTCTCTTCCCTGTCTCTCTTCCTGTCGGTCTGTCTGTCTCTCTGTGCGTGTGTGAGTGTGCATCATGAACATTTAAAAGTCCAAATAATAATAGCTATGGTTGGAGCATCTGAAGCTAACTGAATGTAATAGTAAGTTTCCTACTTTTTGCATCATAAGGCCTAATAGACAATAAGGCATCTATACTGAACAAAAATATAAACGCAACATGCAACAATTTCAACGATTTACTGAGTTACAGTTCATATAAGGAAATCAGTAAATTGAAATAAATTAATTAATTAGACCCTAATCTATTGATTTCACATGACTGGGCAGGGGCACAGCCATTGGTGGGCCTGGGAGGGCATAGGCCCACCCACTTGGGAGACAATCAGAATGAGTTTTCCCCACAAAAGGGCTTTATTACAGACATAAATACTCCCCAGTTTCATCAGCTGTCTGGGTGGCTGGCCTCAGACGATCCCGCATGTGAAGAAGCCGGATGTGGAGGTCCTGGGCTGGCATGGTTACACGTGGTCTGCAGTTGTGAGGCCGGTTAGACGTACTGCCAAATTCTCTAAAACGACGTTGGAGGCGGCCTATGGTAGAGCAATTAACATTCCATTCTCTGGCAACAGCTCCGGTGGACATTCCTGCAGACAGCATGCCAATTGCACACTCCCTCAAAACTTCAGACATCTGTGGCATTGTGTTGTGTGACAAAACCACACATTTTAGAGTGGCCTTTTATATGTCCCCAGCACAAGGTACACCTGTGTAATGATCATACTGTTTAATCATGTTCTTGATATGCCACACCTGTCAGTTGGATGGATTATCTTGGCAAAGGAGAAATGTTCAGTAACAGGGATGTAAACACATTTATGCACATACATTGAGAGAAATAAGCTTTTTGTGCATATAGAAACATTCTGGGATATTTTATTTCAGCTCATGAAACATTGGACCAACACTTTACATGTTGTTTATATTTTTGTTCAGTATATAAAGACACAGTATTTTTTGCCTGTTGTAAATGTTCATGACGTTTGTCATAAAGTATCCACTAGAGCGTATTTGATTAAATAAAATGCAAGGTAGGCTAGATATAGCTAGAAGAGTTTGAGTCTTAAGCAGCAGCCGATGTTGCATTTTTGGAGTGCACTGCACCTTTAAACATGAACCCGTTGTGCACAGTTCAGAAACAGCGATACCGTGTTGCACTTCCAGTTTTGGGACGTAGAACTGTGTTGACTGCAATGGCTACATCCACCGACTCATTTTACCTGGGGTTTGATTTCAGCACTCAACAAGTAGGTTCAGATTATAATGCACGCTTTACGTCGTTGTGTTTGCAATCTTGCCTATACGCACGCGCGTAGACTTTGTGTAACACGGAAGAAGAGATAAAACGATGAATCAGAGGCTACAATTGAAGGCTCATCTGGAACATTTGACATAGCATAGGCCTACGGGTAGATAGCCTTTCAAATAACCCATGTGTACCATACTATATAAGCAATATTATAAGAAGATTTAGTGGTTCTGGCATTCATTCATAAATGAAATACGCGTGACATGTTTTCTCCTTTCATTCCACTGGACTTCGGACTTAGCCTAGACAAACATTGAATTGCTTATTTCATAACATTTAGCCATTCTTCCTACTACATCAGCTGCAAAGCAGCCACTTCTGTTGCCGTTCCTGACTCAACCCATTTCCCCAATGTTGTGTTCAGCTGAAGGTGGTTGCTGTTGATGGGAACCTCAATGTTGTCCACCAGGACAATGTGCAGTTTGACAGTGAACTGCCAGAATTCGGGTAACAACACAAAATAAAAAAATACACTCCATAATGTGTAGGATGATAATTGTGTTGCCAACTGATAAATAGCTATGTCCTACCGACTATAGCAGCACAATTCAAAGGCTGGTAAATCCTACACCCTTGATAGTAGGCTAGGCTACACAGTTTGGAATTAGTCCATGAAACTGACTTCTATCTTTTCATATCTCCCCAGGACTCAGGGAGGGGTCCATATCCATGCAGACAGGCTGACTGTCACTTCTCCTGTGCTCATGTGGGTGAAGGTAGTCCACCATGAATACTTCACTACCTATTAGTGCACTGCACAGTGAATACTTCACTAGTAGCTCAGTAATAGTACTAGTAGCTCAGTGGTCTGCTCACTCTCAAACCATTACATAGCTGAAGTCCATAAGCTGTTATTCCGTTGAGTTCAAAGGTAGGGCCTACAGCAATAACATCCCCAAAAGTGTTGTAACAAATGCATTACACTGCATGAAACTGTAAGGTTGATTAAACAAATATTATTAAACTGCAGATAATTCTAATTTTGGGAAGATATCGCTCTTTGTAACTACCTCCTCACTAATATCTTCAGCAGAAAAACGCAACGCTTTGAATCAAAAGTCACCAAGATCAGATTCAAGAGCAATCTATGTGTAATAGGGATGCCATTGGCAGAGTTGAGCGTGTTTTAGTCCTGTGTTTTTTAACTGAGCAATTCCATGGTGATTTCCCAGGCACTTGACCTGATCCTTGGCAAGATGAAAAATGCAGGCTTTGACTTCTCGCGTGTGAAAGCCCTATCTGGGAGTGGCCAGGTGTGTGGACTATTACTAGGACTCTATTATAGTGCTCCATTGTGTATTTTGAATACAGTCAGGCATCACATGTATTTCATCATTGTCCTGTTTTTACAGCAACATGGCAGTGTGTATTGGAGGAAAGGGACCAACCAAGTTCTCAGGGATCTCCATCCAGGAAAAACTTTGCACGAACTTCTGAAGGTAAGTGGTCCCATACATGGCAGTAGCAGGGAGAGATTCTAGACTCTCTGGTTGTCCTTTCTGTCTATCACTACAGCAGAGTAGAGTGCATGTTTGCTAGTGACATGCCAGATAAAACAATTATCTCCAATTTTTGACAGTCAACTTCATCGTCCCATAAAATGGCATTTAATTTTGCACATACAGTTCAGTATCAGCAACAAAAACAAATGACATGCACCACTTGATTTGAAATACAGTGCCCTGTTTTTCTCAGAGTATTGCTGTTGGCAAATGTCAAATAGGCGGTGTGTCCGCCTGGTTGAAAGTTAATACATGACCTTCCTTGTGTGGGTGAGAAGAAGAAAAAAAACCATTTGCCACAGCCTTTGATACATTGCAGGCATAGCCAACCCTATAGCCCAATGTTTGTTCATTAATCCAACAGTACAATCAAACCCTGAGGATTATTCAGTCATTACTAACCCGAAGGGCCTCCTTTTTACCTCAGTGAGTTTGCAAGTCTAAAATGACCATGAGAAGGCATTTCTATTAACATTTTGTCTCAAAGCTGGTAGTCTCCTCCAAAGTTGTTCTTGTCTTTGAATGCCTTGATATGTATTTTTGGGGAATTACAGTAGTTAGTTGATTAGTAGTTGTTTTGATTCATTCAAACACTTTGTTTATTGAATAAAATGTAGTTGTGCATGTTCCACCTCTATTAAGTAATTCCATGGGTTGCAATAAATAAGCTAGTTTCTTGTCATCTGATTTCTCAGTTGGTATATTGATACTTTATGTCTGTACTTTATTTTGTGTCAACAGGGTGGTTTTGCTGTGTCAGATAGTCCAGTATGGATGGACTCCAGCACTACAGAGCAGTGTCAGTACCTGGAGACAGCAGTAGGTGGCGCTCAGCGAGTTGCAGACATCACAGGCTCCCGGGCCTATGAGGTGAGGAAGACTCAGTTTCCTTGACTGGATGGATTTTTTTTTTTTTTTTATTTTTTTTTTTTTTTTAGTCATTTAGCAGACGCTCTTATCCAGAGCGACTTACAGGAGCAATTAGGGTTAAGTGCCTTGCTCAAGGGCACATCGACAGATTTTTCACCTAGTTGGCTCGGGGATTAGAACCATGGCACAATTGGATTGACACTTATTTTACTCATTGTTTACAAGTAACTTCAATCATACATGTCTCCAAGTGATATGGACACAGTTAACACCTCTACACGTATGTGGGGGATGCAATATTTACTAAAGGCACTGACCTCTTTTTATCTATTCTATAACATTACCTTTCAGCGTTTCACTGGAAATCAGATTGCCAAGATTTACAAGGCCAAACCAGAGAAGTACGAGGACACAGAGGTGAGGTGACATGCCCATTTTACTTGTCTGCTATCACCATTCCCCATTGTCATGTTAAATCCAATGATTTATGTACAGTACCAGTCAAAAGTTTAGACACACCTAATCATTCAAGGGTTTTTCTTAATTTTTACTATTTTTTTTTACATTGTAGAATAATAGGGAAGACATCAAAACTATGAAATAACACATATGGAATCATGTAGTAACCAGAAAAGTGTTAAACAAATCAAAATATATTTTTTATTTCAGATTCTTCAAATAGCCACCATTTGCCTCTTGGCATTCTTTCAACCAGCTCCACCTGGAATGCTTTTCCAACAGTCTTGAAGGAGTTCCCACATATGCTGAGCACTTGTTGGCTGCTTTTCCTTCACTCTGCCGTCCGGCTAATCCCAAACCATCTCAATTGGGTTGAGGTCTGGGGATTGTGGAGGCCAGGTCATCTCAGGTCATCTGATGCAGCCCTCCATCACTCTCCTTCTTGGTCAAATAGCCCTTACACAGCCTGGAGGTGTGTTGGGTCATTGTCCTGTTGAAAAACAAATTATAGTCCAGATGGGATGGCGTATCGCTGCAGAATGCTGTGGTAGCCATGCTGGTTAAGTGTGCCTTGAATTCTAAATAAATCACAGACAGTGTCACCAGCAAAGCACCCCCACACCATAATACCTCCTCCTCCATGCTTTACGGTGGGAACTACACATGCGGAGATCATCCGTTCACCCACAACGCGTCTCACAAAGACACCGCAGTTTGAACCAAAAATCTCCACTGGTCTAATTTCCACTGGTCTAATGTCCATTGCTCGTGTTTCTTGGCCCAAGCAGGTCTCTTCTTCTTATTGGTGTCCTTTAGTAGTGGTTTCTTTGCAGCAATTCAACCATGAAGGCCTGATTCACACAGTCCCCTCTGAACAGTTGATGTTGAGATGTGTCTGTTACTTGAACTCTGCATTTATTTGGGCTGCAATTTCTGAGGCTGGTAACTCTAATGAACTTATCCTCTGCAGCAGAGGTAACTCTGGGTCTTCCATTCCTGTGGTGGTCTTCATGAGAGCCAGTTTCATCATAGAGCTTGATGGTTTTTGCGACTGCACTTGAAGAAACTTTAAAAGTTCATGAAATTTTCCGGATTGACTGACCTTCATGTCTTAAAGTAATGATGGACTGTCGTTTCTCTTTGCTTATTTGAGCTATTCTTGCCATAATATGGACTTGGTCTTTTACCAAATAGGGCTATCTTCTGTATATCACCCCTACCTTGTCACAACACAACTGATTGGATCAAACGCATTAAGAAGGAAATAAATTCCACACCTGTTAATTGAAATGCATTCCAGGTGACTACCTCATGAAGCTGGTTGAGAGAATGCCAAGAGTGTGCAAAGCTGTCATCAAGGCAAAGGGTGGCTATTTGAAGAATCTCAAATATAAAATATATTTTGATTTGTTTAACATTTTTTTTGGTTACTACATGATTCCATATGTGTTATTTCATAGTTTGATGTCTTCACTATTATTCTACAATGTAAAAAATAGTACAAATAAAGAAAAACCCTTGAATGAGTAGGTGTGTCCAAACTTTTGACTGGTAGCGTACATCATTGGTTAAACTACTCTAGGTTGCATATCTGTATGAATTCAATAAATTAAGGTGAATAGAGCTCTAAAAATGGCAGATAAATTCTGCCCTCTTTGTGGAACATACTCTGTGTTGTTTTAGTAGGAAAGATCAATATGATTTTAGATGGAGTGTCACTAGTTCTGTAAATGTCTGAAATATTTCCCCCCCTTCTTTTTTCGCTATTCATTTCAGAGAATCTCATTGGTCAGTAGCTTTGCTGCCTCTCTCTTCCTGGGCAACTATGCAGCTATTGATTACAGTGACGGTAAGGTGCTATTACTGATGATAATGGTTAATGATGATGTGTTATCGGTAGCACTTTATTGTATGGTACAGAAATTACTACACAAGAGTAATCTATGCTGAACTTTTTTGTTTCTCTTTGGGATTTATTAAAACAAACATGAGTACTGTAGGTACAATTTGTTATCAGTTTAGTTACCACTTAGTACAATAATGTACCTATTGGTAGCACATAATTTCATAGTAAATACCAGTGCAAAAATTACCGTAAAATAAAGTTATTTATAATATAACATTTAATTACAACTGTTATGGGACAAATACCTTGGGAGTGAAGATCCTCCTTAAATCCTTAAAAAGTTCACTGTTTCAGACCATATTACTTTACCCCAGCATGCTTGAAACATCACCTACTATGGGAACACAACGGGTTAACTCTCCAAGTTGGCTTGAACTTATCTTTGATGTTTACTTCATTACAATGTTTTTACCTGGCAGAACCGTTCTTTTAAGGTCTGCTGGATAACAATCATCATTGTGTTTGTGCAATAGGGTTGCCAAGGGATTTTTCTCCATATGTTATCAGTAGCACTGAAACCATGTTGACATTGTAATCAAGTCGTGTAGTCAGTTTTTTGCCTGTTTTTCGTTACAATATACAGAAGGGCAAGATGAGGGAAATGTCTTGTTTATCATACAGGAAGATTACAGTAGTTGTGGCAATTTGCGCATGACATTCTAGTCTATCTGTCCCTGCTCGATGAGCACAGAAACTTGTGCAAGGCAGAGTGTATTTAATATTCCTACACAATGATATCTGGCATATACATAGGAGAAGTATACCACAGTGCTGTGATAACATACATTACAGTTTATGAATAACATAAATTCATATTCAGATTAGTGAGATTGGACTTGGTTAATAAAAACATTTATAATAAGACAATTAAAATGTTTATAAATATATAGAAATAATGAAATACTTGCCAAGATGTATTAATTATTTTTAATGAATGTCATTATTAAGGGTTACCCAAACATTTGGTACACTCGGTTCCGTGATCCGCATTCTAATAAAATTGTCCTGCATTGATGTGCACTGTATATTCTATTATTCTATGTTCTTTGGAAATGCTTGATCAGTCGTTCTGATTCGTGACATGTCCATTCTTCTCCTTTATTAAGGTTCAGGGATGAATTTGATGGACATATTCAGCAAACAGTGGGCGGACTCCTGTCTGGAGGCTACTGCTCCTCACCTGGAGGAGAGGCTGGGAGCCCCTGTGCCATCTTCAGCTGTCTTGGTGAGATACTCCTATATACAGTATCATGGTTCTTTTTTTGTGTCTATTCTCCTGGTTGGGCAACTGATAAGGAATGCAAATCAACTTTTGACTTTTGAATGGGCTGTGATTTCATCTCACATGGAAGGTTGTTTTACATTTTCATTGTAAAATAAGTCAGTTTTTAGTGAATTCTTCAGTTGCAAGTCCTTGGGTCAGGTCATGTAGGCTACAAAATATGCATCATATCACCTCATATTCAAATGTTTGTATTTGAAGAGTTTTAGGCCAGCCTGAGGTCTCTGGCAATAATTGGATAAAGAACTGGGGCCATCAAGGCTTTCGTTCCCAGCTCCACATGTGTGTCTTTAGATCCTAGTAACACTTAAACTGCCGGGCCTCACTACCCCCTGTACTACGCCAATGAACAGCCATTTTGACTGCAACATTCTAACAGTCTTAACAGTTGAGTGGCGCAGGGGTCTAAGGCACTGCATCGCAGTGCTAGCTGTGCCAATAGAGATCCTGGTTCGAGTCCAGGCTCTGTGGCAGCTGGCTGCGACCGGGAGACCCATGGGCGGCGCACAATTGGTCCAGCATCTTCCAAGGTAGGGGAGGGTTTGGCCGGCAGGGATGTGGGTTCGTTTCCCACGGGGGTCCAGTATGAAAAATAAAAATAAAAATACATGTATGCATTCACTAACTGTAAGTCGCTCTGGATAAGAGCGTCTGCTAAATTACTAAAATGTCAAATATGCTATCGGAAAAAGTATCCTTTGGTTGTGTTTATGAAGGTCTTGTGTAACATTAGAATACAGATTTTTTTTAGATCAAAGAACAAAAGCATTTTCATTAGTTTATGTTACTGTAGGCGTTCTGCTACTGCGTGCTCACGTGTGGCGCGCACAGGAACAGCAGTTATTCTTGGGGAAATAGATATTTGGAAATAGAGCTAATCTCTTCAATTTTTTTAGTTATTTGGCAAAGGAAAGTGTTTTGGAAACCTCAGAATCTGCTCTTTTTGATACTATATCGAAATCAAAACATCTTACCTGCATGTGACTCTGTTGGAGTATTTGAAAAAGTAACTTATTTTGCGCTCCCTGAAAAAAATTAAATGTCCTCTTAAAACTGCTTATAACTAATTATGTTCATGATATAATGGCAGCCATATTGGTCAGGGAGAAATCCAAATCAGTCTAATTGGAATGAATGCCAGTAGAGATATTATCCTGATTTTACTTATTCAATAAAATACAAGTAAGGCATGTGATGTATAGCTCTGGATAAGAGTGTCTGCTAAATGACGTAAATGTATCAGAAATTGTGTAATATAATTATTGTCAACCTAAAATATTGTCATATAATTATAAATACAGTTTATACGGGTTTTATACAAATGTTCTGTATATATAGCCTTAAAATATATGTAAACAGACCATAAATGTTTCAATTAAAATGTTTGGGAAAGTTGTGAGTACTATTATATGATACAATATCAGTACTTGTTGCATTTACAACTTGTCTAAGTCCTATCATCAACTGATTTTAGCCAGTGTGTGGCTGTGGATTGACTGCATTGTTTGAATGGAATGTTGGCATATTGGCATTTAATTTGAACAATTAATAGAATAATTGCTCTAAAACTGGTTGCTAGCTAGCTAACAAACATAGATGTGGTAAAGAGGTCAATCCAACTCGACCAAAACAATGGAATTGCCATGGAAACGTATGGGGGATAGGGCCATGGGGGAAAGATCCCGAGTCTCCTCATTGCCATCCAGCAAAATGTTCCCACATTTAGACTATTGTTTATATGTGTATTTCATGTTGAGGTAAGAATCGGAGTATAATGCTTGTATGGATGTCAACCCCAACACATTTTCATGTCATCATTACCAATCAACTGCATTACTTCTTCAAAACTTGAAAAGGGACATTTTCTACGTTAGGCAGCAAAAACAGCCAAATATATCCAAATCGGACTTACAGTGCCTTGCAAAAGTATTCATACCCCTTGGTGTTTTTCCTATTTTGTTGCATTACAACCTGTAATTTAAATGGAGTTTTATTTGGATTACATGTAATGGACATACAGAAAATAGTCAAAATTGGTGAAGTGACATTAAAAAAATAACTTGCATATGTATTTCACCCCCTTTTCTATGAAGCCCCTAAATAAGATCTGGTGCAACCAATTACCTTCAGAAGTCACATAATTAGTTAAATAAAGTCCACCTGTGTGCAATCTAAGTGTCACATGATCTGTCACATGATCTCAGTATATATACACCTGTTATGAAAGGCCCCAGAGTCTGCAACACCACTAAGGAAGCGGCACCATGAAGACCAAGGAGCTCTCCAAACAGGTCAGGGACAAAGTTGTGGAGAAGTACAGATCAGGGTTGGGTTATAAAAAAATATCTGAAACTTTGAACATCCTTACGGAGCACCATTAAATCCATTATTAAAAAATGGAAAGAATATGGCACCACAATAAACCTGCCAACAGAGGGCTGCCCACCAAAACTCACGGACCAGGCAAGGAGGGTATTAATCAGAGAGGCAACAAAGAGACCAAAGATAACCCTGAAGGAGCTGCAAAGCTCCACAGCGGAGATTGGAGTATCTGTCCATAGGACCACTTTAAGCCGTACACTCCACAGGGCTGGGCTTTACGGAAGAGTGGCCAGAAAAAAGCCATTGCTTAAAGAATAAATAAGTGAACACGTTTGGTGTTCGCCAAAAGTAATGTGAATAGTTAAGTTTAATGTTTTTTTGTCTTCTTTCATGTTTGTTTCACAAGAAAAAAATATTTTGCATCTTCAAAGTGGTAGGCATGTTGTGTAAATCAAATGATACAACCCCCCAAAAAATCAATTTTAATTCCAGGTTGTAAGGCAACAAAATAGCAAAAATGCCAAGGGGGTGAATAATTTCGCAAGCCAATGTAAGTAACCACATTGTGGGCCTGTTACAATGCATAAATCATGACGGATTTGACGAATATCTACTTTGTTAGATCAGATTTGTTGAATGTGTGCCAATCTGGTCAATGGAACATCTGCGTTTACCACATCTATACCATGCAGATAAATGGCTGACCTTTATCCCATCTTAAGAAGGTTCATTTCTATTCTAGTATTTTCATTCCTAGTTCTGTGTTAAATAGACTTATTTAGGAAAAGTCAAGGACTGAAGGGGGGCATGAAATTGCTGTGCACAATCTCCATAGGAAATGCTGATGACTGCTGAACTGCTAAAGCTAACGTTGGACTGTTCACAGCTCTTTATTCCTCATCCTCTTCTATAAACCCTAACCTCACCTGGTTCCCCTCCACAGGGCCTGCTCTCTCCTTACTATGTCACTCGTTACGGCTTCCCAGAGGACTGCAAAGTGGTGGCATTCACTGGGGACAACCCAGGTAAGAGCTTTGTCATGCTCTGATGCTGTCTTTGTCAGGGGCCTCTGTTTTTATATTTTCCGTCATTTGGCCACTGGGTGGCAGTAGCACTGTACTGACTGCATTGATCTGCTCCAGTGATCCTCCTCAGCGCCTCCACTCCTATCCTACACATGGATGTTGTGTAGATTCTAATGAGAGTGCATGGCGGCGGTGGTCACATGTTCGCCCTCCTCCCAGGCAGCTTGATATTAACCCGAAGCAAGCAGCACTGGCTAACAGGGATAGTTTGGGATTTTGGCAATGAAGGCCTTAATATACTTCCCCAGAGTCAAAGGAACTCGTGGATACCATTTTTTACGTCTCTGCGTTCATTATGAAGGAAGTTAGAGGTAGTTAGACAATGCTAACTAGCTTAGCACAAAGACTGGAAGTCTTTTGGTACAGCTCATTGCCAAAATCCCAAACTATCCCTTTAAGACTATGGCCATGGCGCTTGTGCTGTCCGTGTCTGTAGACCAGGGTTCTTCAATTCCGGTCCTGGAGGGCCGAAACACCTCTGTTTTTCATCCTCTTCTTCTAATCAGGGGCTAATTCAGACCTGGGACACCAGGTGAGGTCAATTCACTACCAGGTAGAAATAAAAAACAGAAGTGTTTCGGCCCTCCAGGATCGGAATTTAAGAACCCTGCTGTAGGCTATAGGTGGTGACTCTGCGCTTTTTCAGTTAAATGCAGCGGCGGCGGCCAGCTGAACGTAAACACCGAGTGACTTTGACACAGGCTTCAGACCGCTCTCCCCTCCGAACTGTCCGCTAGCCCACTCAGCAGTGTCATCTGCATAAAAGGGGCTTTACGACCAATATAAAGGCGCGCGACGCCCAGACAGCGGTTGTGTGAGGGAGTCTGGCACAGTCGATTGAGATTGAGCTCATTCAGCGCAGCTCGTTTTGAGCAGACAAACAATAACTAATGGACTAATTGATACCGTTGTGAAATTGCCTGGATATAATGAAATATTATCCATGGTGTGATACAGTAGATGAAGTGGAGGCAGGATACATAAGGAGTTGGTTATGAATGCATAGATTTAACAGTGAGATGGCTGTCTTCTAATTTATACTAGTTGATCATTGTAATAATTGATTAGGCAAGTTGATCAGGGCTTATGCTATGATTTGAATAGCCATGGTGCATTCAGGAATTTAATTCAAATTATTTGTCGATTTTATATGTAGATAAGAGTATCATTAATAGTTATCATGTATGCAAAAAACTCACTTGAATTCATTTTCTGAGATATGAAGGGACAGAAGTATTGAGGTCATCTAGATGTCCATGTCTGCTGTGTCTTGCCTAAACAAGCACTCATATTTTCATCCAGATTTGAGCTGATTTAGTAGCTCAGGAAGGTATATGGATTGTATTTATTCTACACACTAATACATAAAGATGTCGACTTATCAATATATTTATACTACTACATTCCAATTAATCATCGCAGCAAACCATTTTTTAAGGTCAATGACAGATATGAAATTCTCAAAATTATTCTTAAGCTTCAGACTCGAACGCCGGTGAAGAATTGGAATGAGAATCCAGTCTGAGGGCCATTTTTCTTGGGACTGTCGTCCTTTCAGGGGCCTGCGTGTGTATGCGTCCCAGCATGGGAAAGATTGATTTAACACTGTCTGCAAGGTCACCAAGAAATCCAATAGACTGAAATTAATAAATCTTTCCACCAGGTCCGCCCTCTGAAGCCCCCAAAATTAAAACATGTAAAAGATCTGCCCAGCAACTCCCAACTCAACAGCACAGAGTTAGGACTTGTTATGGGCAATACCTGTATACTTTGTTATGGGCCATACCGGTATACCTTGTTATGGGCCATACCTGTATACCATACAGAACAATGAGAATATACAGTATATACACCCCATAGGATAACCCTTTTTCGTTCCAGGTAGAACTCTTTTGGGTTCCATGTAGAACCCTCGGTCGAAAGGGTTCTACATGGAACCCAAAAGGGGATCTACCTGGAACCAAAATGGTTCTACATGGAACCAAAAGGGGTTCTTCAAAGGGTTTTCCTATGGGGACAGCCGAAGAACCTGTTTTGGTTTCAGATTGCACCTTTTTTCTAAGAGTGTACCTTGGGTAACCTTAGGTCACAGTCTGTGGATGAAATTGAAATTAAACGTCTCTACAGTACTGTATGTTCAGTGACTCAAGTAGATCTGAGAGAGTCTATGTTGTGTCTTTGTTGTGCAGACACATCCCATTTTAAAGGACCAAGGCAAGAGAGATGAATGGAACATGGGCTAAAGGGAACTAGACTTTCTCACTGGCTTTCAATCTTTAATTAGTGTGTTTCAGGTCTGATTGCTGTTTTCATTTCTTATTCCAGGGTCCCTGGCTGGGATGAGGCTACAGGAAGGAGACATAGCCGTAAGACCTTTCACCTTTCTTTCTGCACAAGCACAATACATCATATCATAGCCAATTAAAGGGCATAGGGCTCAAATGTTATCAAGTTGCAGTTCAGTGCTTAGAGGTTGTACAGAACTTTTTCTTCTGAGGCTACTCAGAAATTACCTCATTGGACACAGGGGCACACCTCCCCAGACCCATGAGCAAGGATGTTGTGGTTTTAGGAGATAAGAAATTGATTAATATTATTGAGGTGAACAATTAGCAACTAAACTTCCGTACAGCCTCTTTAGCTGCAGCAGTAGAGTAATGTGATGCAGGGAAGCCATGTTAAGGACCACATGGAGGTTCAATGCCATTAAATCATTCATGCCAAGAGGTCCGCCGTCGTCCGACGAGCAGCAATATCAAGTTGTTTTCATCATCAAACGGAACACTTGGTGGAATCAACGCATTAAAAGCATTACAGTGCTCACTTTGAACTTTGCCTAAATGAGGGATCACACATTTTTTGAGATGTGCTTTGACTACCGGCTTCCAAATCACTTCAGCGACCTTCAACCAAATATAATTAATTTACTCTAATCAGATTTTATTTTGCATGTCTTCACTTAAAGACTCAGTGCAGTCAAAAATGTGATTTTCCTGTGTTTTATATATATTTCCACACTATGAGGTTGGAATAATACTGTGAAATTGTGAAAATGATGATAATGCCCTTTTAGTGTAAAAGCAGTTTGAAAAGAGCACCTGAAATTTCAGCCAGTGTGATGGAGTTTTGGCCTGTCTGGTGACATCACCAGGTGGTAAATTAGTTAATAGACCAATAAGAAAAAGAGTTCCAAACCTCTAATAACAGTAACAGCTAGTTTTCAGTTTTTCCCTCCCCACTCAGATCACTCCCAGACAGTCCTAGCAAAATTATTGCTTGAGAAATTGCTCTTTGCTAAGAAGCTACCCACTGGGCAAAAACTGGTTGAATCAACGTTGTTTCCACGTCATTTCAACCAAAAAATGAAATGTGATGATGTTGAATCAATGTGGAAAACTGATTTGATTTGAAAAAAGTCCTCAACGTCATAGCCACGGGAAGTAGGGGTGCTGAGGGTGCTACAGCACCCCCTGATCAATCACAATAAAAAAAATATGAATAATACAAATATTATTAGGATTGTTGTTGAATTTTTTAAACCAAATTATTGAACTTGGCCTTTAAAGATCCACTATGCAGAAATCGCTTTGCCAATTCCTGGTTGCAATTTTTTTTATAGTTCGCCTAATTTCAGTTTGTGACAAAACAAGCAAGTATAGTGTACAGAATCATTGTACCATCTAAACCGTTGTGAAATATAACTTCTAAAAATACTGTATTTTCAGCTGTTTGAAACTGGTGTTCAAAACCGAAAGTAAAAGACTTAAGCACAGGAAGCATAGAAATAGCGCACATGGAACTGATGTACTGCTTCTTAGACTTGCTTTCAATGAGAATGACAGATCTATAACGCACATTTCTATGTGAACTTGGTTGGATTGGCCAAAAAGTTACATATTTCAGCGTTAATATTCCTGTATGAGCAGACAAAGATACTGGTCAGCAGAGCGGGGAGAAATGCCTGGCACCTACTACCATACCCTGTTCAAAGGCACTTAAATATTTTGTCTTGCCCATTCACCCTCTGAATGGCACACGTACTCAATCAATGTCCCAATTGTCTCGAGGCTTAAAAATCCTTCCTTAACTGTCTCCTCCCCTTCATCTACATTGATTTGAAGTGGATTTAACAAGTGACATCAAAAAGGGATCATAGCATTCACCTGGTCATTCTATGTCATGGAAAGAGCAGGTGTTCCTAATGTTTTGTACACTCAGTGTATATGTTGTATAAGTGGTTATATAAGTTATTCCTCCTACCGTCTTCCTATCTTCCTCACTCCCAGGTGAGTCTTGGCACTAGCGACACAGTCTTCCTGTGGATCAAAGAGCCGAGACCCACAGTGGAAGGACACATCTTCTGCAACCCAGTGGACTGCCACTCCTATATGGCTTTGATATGGTAAATACTTCCCACACTACCCCCACATCTTCAGAAACAAAGTAGTTCCCCCGCAGTTCACAATAGAATGGTATATATTTAACATATGGCGTAGAAGCGCCACATTCCGTCACAATAGATCTAGAGCCAATACGCTCTGAGAACTTACATAAGCAGACACGGTATGGCTTTGCAGAAACAGACCGTGGATGTTGCAGTAGGTCTATAGACTAGGGTTTAGACTAAGCCTATAGACTCAGTTTTCTTAGTGAAGTATACTTTATTGAAAAACGTAGCTCTTTCTCTGAGTCATTCAGGTACATGGTACATGACAAAGATTGTTTCCACTGTACTACAACTGATCTGGTGATAAAAGCATCTTCTAAATGGCATAGATGTACTGAATGTAGTGAACAAGGTTATTATAGTAAACTACAATTTGAAAAACTAAAACTATACTGAAACTATTATCTAAAATAAAACAAAAAACAAAAACCATCATGAATTATGTTCAGTTTGACATTTTTGGCATGCAAAAATCAAATGGGCTTTTCAATGGGCTTTTCAAACTTCTGAGATTGACTTTTCATTTAAAGGTAGACTCAGTGAGATGACATGTTTGAGTGGTAAGGCTAAAGCAACCGACTGTAGACGAAAGGCGAGGAGGAAGGTCGGGGGACAGCTGAAAGTCAGACACTACTGTGGTTTTCCAACAGCAAGGCTCAGATGAACATGGCATATCACACACTCACAAACTGAAATCATAATATAATATTATGTGTGTACATTGTACAATCAATTAGTAAGAGATCCTCAAATATCAAATGTATTTGTATATATCCACTGTACACATAAATCACGGCAAACAAAAACACCCTAATGACTGGTTGACCATCGAGCCTCACAATGCAGGTGATGGCTGCAGGATGAAGTTGGTTTGCAGAAACTTCATTTTTGTAAAAAAAAACATGTAGTCAACATGTAGGTGCAAGTCAGACAATTTTTATCCCCAGAATGCAACGCACTTTGAAAGCAAGACTTTGGTCTCACACAGTCACACAGAGTGTCTGCACATGTGCACTTCACTCCGCTTCAACGTGGTAGCTACGGGACCAAAACAGCAGAGACGTTTAGCCTCACGCTTCAACACTCCTGATTGCTGCGGAAATTTACCCACTATTACAGTTTACTTCGTGCATCTACGTCATCTCTCTGAGTCTACCTTTAAAGCTAACCTAACCTATGATCTGACCCATCACCTTTACTACCCCACAGTGGCAAGAAGTGACATCCCAAAAACACAACAACTATACAACACATAAATGTCTCCTAGCCTCCCACGCTTCTTTCTGTCCGTAACACTAAACTAAAACTGAAATGAAATAATATAAAAATACTTAAACTAAATAAAAACTAGTAAAGTGGATCTGAAAACGAAATCATAAAATCACAAAATGAATAGAAAAAAAAAAGTATATAAAAACACGAAACTGTAATTACCTTGGTACCTAATGCTTACGATCGATATGTGGCATTGACATTTAATTGAATTCCTTGAGACTTTGTTGAACTATAACTGCGTCACATACAGTCCTGCACAAACTTGCCACTTGTCATTGTGCCACTGGTAACCTTGCACAAGCACACACACAGACAGACACACACACACACACACACACACACACCAAGTGACATTGACAACTTTTACTAATCATTATCTTCTGTCTGTATGAATCCTGTTCCATAATGGTTTAATCTATGGTAAAATAGAGTATTATAAAATAAGTGGTTTTAATCATAATAGCTGATACACAAAGGAGATTAAAATTGGGACGGACGCTCAGGCTTTTACTGTAGATGGCTTGCTTTGAATTCAATTATACTAAATGGTGGTATGTCAGCCCAGGTAAATGTGTGTGCGTGCGTGTGTGTATATGTGTACGTGTGCCTCCTGCCAGCTATAAGAATGGCTCCCTGACCAGAGAGAGGATCAGAAACAAGTGTGCTGGAGGGTCATGGGAAGTCTTCTCTTCGGTCCTGAGGTCTACACCAATAGGGAACGATGGGAACATAGGTGATGATGTCAAACATGCTGTATCTATTGACAGATTTGTTTTAGTCATTAAGTTGGATTGATTTAGACTGTAGGCCGCAGATTTATTCAGATAAAGGCATGGCTTTCAGATAACTGCTTGATTTTTTTGATGTGACTGTTCTCAATGGGCTGGCATCTAACATGTTCTCTCCCAGGGATTTATTTTGATACCATGGAAATCACGCCGTCTGCAGTTGGAGTTCACAGATTTGACAAAGAAAATACAAAGGTCAGTGACTCACTGAAGGAAGTGAAATTATGGATGGGATTCTATTTGCATTTCAAACGAAAAACTGGAAATGGTAGTTCTCTGTGTTGTTTCCATCTAAATGAAAAGATGTACGAGCGCATAAGTAATTCATAAGTAATAGAGTAATGCATGTCATTGTTTATTGACCGATGTTTTATAATGTTTTATTGACCAATTAATGGTTTCAAAACAGCAACGAAGTAACTGGAGCCGTTGTCAGAGACACACAATGATAAGTCACGCGAGGCTACAGTAGCTCTGTCAACCGCTTTTCCTTATCCTTGTGAACTCCTTCAACGGGGCGGTGAAGCTGGAGGATTACGAGACGTCACACAGGGTGATGTGAGGAGAGAGGTCAGACGGGGTGGGGACTTAGCCCGGTGGGAATGAGGCTCTCCACTCCCCCAGTCAAAGAAAGTTCTGTAAGGGCAGGAATCTCCCCTCTACTCCCGTTGCCGGCGTTCCCAAAGCCTCTCTTTGTGTTCCCATTCCCTGTCGTCCCGCTCAGGTAGCCGGTTTCTCCGCCCAGGGGGAAATCCGAGCCCTGGTTGAGGGACAGTTCCTGGCAAAGAGGGTCCACGCCGAAAAGCTGGGTTATAAGATCAGTGAGTGGGTGCCATTTCTTTCTCCTCTTTCTCGCACTCTTTTTTGCTTCCCTCCCAACTCATTATTGTACCTTGACTTTCTCTCTCTCTTTTCTTATCTTCTACTCGCTCTTTCTTTTTTTACTCTTTCTTTCCCTGGCATTTCCTTAATCTATCTTCTCTTCATCTCTCTCTCTCTCTAACTCACACTCTCTCTCACACTCTCTCTCACACACACACACACACACACCTATATCTGTCCCTCTCTCTCCACAGTGGTCAGTATCAGCAGTCTATTAGCATAGTGTCTGGATGCAGTTTCACTCAAACACCCCCGGAAGGGAACAGAATGCCTCAAAGATATGGAAGCATGAGGACTGAATAGCCTGCCCCTCGCACTCACTTATCACAGCTATTTGGAAGACTCAATTTTGGCTCTATATTGGTCCAGAATATTAGTGATTAATCAAAGGCTGTGATTTTGCCTTGAGGACCTCGTATCGAGCGGCAGATAGTTTTTTTTATTCCCCCGTAGAAGTCCATTATTGCAGTCAAATTTGCTGAAGGAGAAAAATAACAGTATAATATTGTGATCCGTGATGATATTGCTACTAACTGCTACTGTATGGATCTTGACAGTTGACGCTAGTTCAATTAAAGCACCATTGACTACTGCCAAGGCTGAGTATTTTAAATTGGTCCATGAGGGATCTGTTTGTCTGCTGTCTTCATACATAGCGAGCAGTTTGGTCCATCTGTCATCATTGGACATGTTATAGCCTATGTACTGTATATGTAATGTAGTCTAATGCGTTTCCATGTTCCTGAGTCACTCTGAATGCATAGCAATGACAAGTCAGGATTGGTTGAATGCTGGTTGTACGGAGTCATCTGAAACACTGAATCACTCTGGGCCACATTGCTATGTCTCAATGCAGCCTTTCAATTCAAAACCATTGCAAAATGAAATGCTCAAATGTAGCCTTTTCCCAGAGAGTTTCAAGAGCCGGGGTCTACCGGGTTAGATAGATAGACAGGCAGGTTTGTGCATCGATTGATGCTGATTTCTCTTATGACGTTTGGGGCTGGTCCTATGTGTGTGTACGCGTGTACGCGTGTGTAATCTGGCACGAACTGTGCCAAGGCTAAGGTGAAATCTCACTCGTCACCGAAGGTCAACATTCTTCCAGAGAATTTAACTTCAAATAAGACCCTCACTGGCCATCAATAGTCATTAATAAGGTATTCACATACTGACAGATCACTCTTTATTAAAAGGAAACCCTCTTATTGACACTACAGGTCTTTTTTAACAGTATTTGAGTGTGGGAAACTCAACTCAACTCAAGATTGCATTCTCTGGTCTGCTAGAATGACCTATCAGACAAAATAAGTTAAACTGATTTAATTATATAGATTTAGCTACACACAGCGAGAGAGGTTATGTTATATTATGAACGAGCATGTTGTTGGTTTACATGCTGGAGAAGTGCAACAACAGTTTAAATGATTTGCTGCTGACTGGGACGCCCGGGTTACAGTTAATAAAGAGTCTTTCTTTCTTTCGCTTTCTCTCTCTCTCTTTCTTTCACTCTCCCCTCCCTCTCATGTCCCTCCCTCTTCTCTCTCTCTCTATCTCTCTCTCTCTCTCTCTCTCTCTCTCTCTCTCTCTCTCTCTCCCTTTTCAAATCTCTTCTTTAAATCTAGTGAATAATACTTCACTCCGACCGCTAGTCATCTTGTAAGCATGTAGATTTATGTCCTGCTCAGCACTGACCAGTTTACCCTCTAAAGGAGATGGATTAACCACGGGAAATGGAGAGGGGAGGACTGGCTTAAAAGTCACTTCTGACCTCAAGTAAATAAAATTATTGTGAAGATGATGGTAGTGATGATAATGGTGGTAGTGATGATAATGGTGGTAGTGATGATAATGGTGGCAGTGATGATAATGCAGGCGGTGATGATAATGGTGGCAGTGGCAGTGATGACAATGGTGGCATTGATGATAATGGTGGTAGTGATGATAATGGTGACATTGGTGGTGATGATAATGGTGGCAGTGGTGGTGATGATAATGGTGGCAGTGGTGGTGATGATAATGGTGGTGGTGGTGCTGCTGCTTTTGATTACAGTGGCAATGATAATAATTGTGGTAATGATAATATTAGATATTAATGGTGATGATGATGTCAATCATATCTGATCAGTTATGCCAAGGGTATATTTCCTTCCCCATCTTCTTCATACAGTTCTTCTAAGGGCGTTTACTCTACTGTACCAATGCATCAGTATAAATGAATCCCCCTGACCGCTAAGGAACATTGATTATCCACCCAGACATGGTGTTTTCCTTGAATGATTTACCTCCTCCTTCGATCCACCCATCCTGTTCCTACTATGTATCCCCCTCTTTGTTTCTCCCCCTGCTTCTTGTCTTTGATACCTTCCAGCCAGGGGGAGGAAGGCATTGGCTACTTGAAAGAGGACAAGCCACTGAGGAAACATGGATAGAGTCCAGGGTGGATGGATACTATCAGCATGCATCCTTCCTTCCTTGGAAGAAATCCCTGATCTGACATAGCTGGATGGGTGAAAGCTATGTGATAGAACTCAATCAATCAATCAATCAATCAATGACATTTATTTATACATTAGCAGATGTCACAAAGTGCTTATACAGAAACCCAGCCTAAAACCCCAAAGAGCAAGCAATGCAGATGTAGAAGCATGGTGGCTAGGAAAAACTCCCTGGAAAGGCAGGAACCTAGGAAGAAACCTAGAGAGGAACCAGGCTCTGAGGGGTGGCCAGTCCTCTTCTGGCTGTGCCGGGTGGAGATTATAAGAGTACATATGGCCATTAAGGCCATATCTTTCTTCAAGATGTTCAAACATTCATAGATGACCAGCAGGGTCAAATAATAATCACAGTGGTTGTAGAGGGTGCAACAGATCAGTACCACAGGAGTAAATGTCAGTTTGCTTTTCATAGCCGAGCACTGTTGTTTACACCTATCTATTTGTGTTAGGTCTGTGATAACTTCAAGGAAAGGAGGAAGGAAGGATGTGTTTTTAAGGTATTCAATTATGGCCTTTAATGTTTTGTTGTGGCACATTCCTTTAAGATGTCCTCCGTCAGGAATAGCTATAAAAGCTACAATGTGTAGTGTAGTGCTTTGACAGTATAAATTCATTTTATTATGAATAGTGGTTATTATTTTTATACACTGGAGCCTTTCTTTCAAGACAAACCCGGATTCTGTCATCATCTGTAAAGTGATGTAGGCTACTGTTGTAGTGTTATAGTTCTGCACTGTACTTACTGCCAGATGTACAATTCTCATGTAACTCAAGTGAGTGTTCGATCTAGCACCTCTATTTGGAAATTAAATAAAGTGATGTAGGCTACTGTTGTAGTGTTATAGTTCTGCACTGTACTTACTGCCAGATGTACAATTCTCATGTAACTCAAGTGAGTGTTCGATCTAGCACCTCTATTTGGAAATTAAATATGCCATTTATTTTCAACAGAGCGTTTTATTCTGGGTTGGGTCTTTCGTGTGTGCGTGTGCGTGCATGCCTGTGTTTGAGCTTGTGTATGTGTGCTTGTGGGTCTGTGTGCGTCAGTGCGTGGGCACCATACGTATGCAATCCAGGATGAATGTGTCTGTATGCCACCTGTGTCTATATATACACTACATGACTAAAAGTATGTGGACACCTGCTCGTCGAACATCTCATTCCAAAATCATGGGCATTAATATGGAGTTGGTCCCCCATTTACATTTACGTCATTTAGCAGACGCTCTTATCCAGAGCGACTTACAGTTAGTGAGTGCATACATCATTTTTTTATTTTTCATACTGGCCCCCCTGTGGGAATCGAACCCACAACCCTGGCGTTGCAAACGCCATGCTCTACCAACTGAGCTACATTCCTGCCGGCCATTCCCTCCCCTACCCTGGACGACGCTGGGCCAATTGTGCACCGCCCAATGGGTCTCCCGGTCGCGGCCTGCTACGACAGAGCCTGGATACGAACCAGGATCTCTAGTGGCACAGCTAGCACTGCGATGCAGTGCCATAGACCACTGCGCCACTCGGGCTGCTTTAACAGCCTCCACTCTTCTGGGAAGGCTTTCTACTAGATGTTGGAACATTGCTGCGGGGACTTGCTTCCATTCAGCCACAAGAGCATTAGTGAGGTCTATCCCAAAGGTGTTCGATGGAGTTGAGGTCAGGGGCGCTGTGCAGGCCAGTCAAGATCTTCCACACCGATCTCGACAAACCATTTCTGTATGGACCTCGCTTTGTGCACGGGGGCAAAGCCCGAACCATAAAAAACAGCCCCAGACCATTATTCCTCCTCCACCAAACTTTACAGTTGGCACTATGCATTCGGGCAGGTAGCGTTCTCCTGGCATCCGCCAAACCCAGATTTGTCCGTTGGACTGCCAGATGGTGAAGTGTGATTCATCACTACAGAGAACACTTTTCCACTACTCCAGAGTCCAATGGCGGCGAGCTTTACACCACGCCAGCTGACGCTTGGCATTGTGCATGGTGATCTTAGGCTTGTGTGCGGCTGCTTGGCCATGGAAACCCATTTCATGAAGCTCCTGACGAACAGTTCTTGTGCTGACATTGCTTCCAGAGGCAGTTTGGTGAGTGTTGCAACCGAGGACAGACTATTTTTTTAACGCGCTACACACTTCAGCACCCGGCGTTCCCGTTCTGTGAGCTTGTGTGGCCTACCACTTCGCGGCTGAGCCGTTGTTGCTCCTAGACGTTTCCACTTCACAATAACAGCACTTACAGTTGACTGGGGCAGCTCCAGCAGGGCAGAAAGTTGACGAACTGACTTGTTGGAAAGGTGGCATCCTATGACGGTGCCACGTTGAAAGTCACTGAGCTCGTCAATAAGGCCATTCTACTGCCAATGTTTGTCTATGGAGATTGCATGGCAGTGTGCTTGATTTTATACACCTGTCAGCAACTGGTGTGGCTGAAATAGCTGAATCCACTCATTTGAAGGGGTATCCACATACTTTTGTATATATAGTGTATGTATGTCCATGCACAAGGAGTGCAAGCGGCCTTCATGAATATTTGATGAATGCAGATCTAAACCGGTAGCTCTTAATCAGCTTTTTCCCCCCTATGCGGCGAGGAGAGAGGAGAGGATTGGGGTGTTATTTACATACAGGCAGCGTACAGGCGGGAGAGCAGCAGGCATATAGGGAGGGAACCCAGCTCCCTGCAAATGGCAGACTTAGTAACGCTCACTATATGACAAGGGCCTATGTGTGTGTGTGTGTGTGTGTGTGTGTGTGAGAGAGAGCGAAAGAGAGGGAGAGAGAATGTGTTTGTCTGTGTTTATGCAACAGTGTATTGATCTGTGAGAAGACCGGTGCAGTGATGCAGAGTGTAACATGCTAAGGAAATGGATATGCCAATACCTCACTGACAGGACATGGGTGTTATCTGGTTTATGCTGTACTTTACCTGACTGAGAGATGCACTATTCAACATGTTCTACCCAATGATGCCCCAGGAGTTCCAAGACATTGGTGTGGAATGATTGTAGAAAATGTCGTTATAGATTTTAGACCACACTTTTCCTCATAGTGTTATGGTGCTTCTAGCAATCCCTTGTCATAGATAAATGCGCATGAAGAAAAAAGCAAATGGATCTTCGTTATAGCCTGACATCAAAACAGATTTTGCACAGGATTCAGTCTGGTTTAACCAGGCTATCTCCCTCATGTAGTGGGGGGAAATCACTACATCAAAACCCCTGCTGCCACTGTCATTTTAGATGCTTTTTGGCGCTTAGCCTATTTTCCTTCTCTCTCTCCCCCCCCCCCCCCTCCCCCCTCCCCCTTCTCTCTCTCTCTCTCTCTCTCTCCATACTTTGAATTGCTTTATTTTCTACAGATCCGACCTTCAGTATGTCTCGTCATTGAGGGAGGCAAAACAAAGCAACAAATCAATTGGGGAAGGCATACTGGGGATCCATTTCATT